CCTGAGACAGTCTTGCTCTGTTTTCTGGGCTAGAGTGCAGTGAAATGAAAATGACTCACTACAGTCTCCACCTCCTTGGCTCAAGTAATCCTCCTGCTTTAGCCTCCTGAGTAGCTGGGACCACAGGCATGTGCTACCACGCCTGGTTAATTTTTGGGATTTTTGTTGAGATGGGGCCTCACTTTGTTGTCAAGGCTTGTCTCCAACTCCTGGGCTCAAGTGATTCTCTCAAAGTGCTGGGATTACAGATGTGAACCATTGTACCCAGCCTTTGCCTGTCTTTATATAGTACCACACTGCATTGATTACTGTAGCTTTCATAGTAAGTCTTGAAATTAGGTAGTATGGGTATTCTAACTCTGTTCCTCTTTTTCAAAGTTATTTTGGCTTTCTTTGTCCTTTATGTTTTCATATACCTTTTATAATTAACTTTTCAATTTCTACAAAAAAAAATCTTACTGAGATTTAGAGTGGGATTGCATTGCATGTATAGATCAATTTGATGAATCAACATTTTACTATTAATAAGTCTTCTAATCCAAACAGTGTATGTGTTTCTCAAAGTAGAGGGCCATGATTTTGTCTGTGTGTGTATGATTTTATCACTTTGACAATGATTGGTTAGTTGTTACCCACATTGACTTTCGATAGATTTTTCAAAGTGGTGACAGGTACATGGGTAATCAATGCATAGAGCTTGTTTGGCGAATGTTCAGCCTCATCATATTTTCTGGACAACCCCATATAGGTACCTATGGGATATTTCTTATTCCTTGGTCCTGAAAGCTTTGTTTTGCCTGGTGTCAATGTGCACATCTAGAGTTTCCATCTCCTTCATGGCAAGTTTCTGGATCTCTTTGAGTGCCTGAAAGGCATGCTTCTTGAAGCCCACTCCGTGAATGTTGATGGTGTCTTCTTTTTTTTTTTTTTTGAGACGGAGTTTCGCTCTTGTTACCCAGGCTGGAGTGCAATGGCGTGATCTCGGCTCACCGCAAACTCCGCCTCCTGGGTTCAGGCAATTCTCCTGCCTCAGCCTCCTGAGTAGCTGGGATTACAGACATGCACCACCATGCCCAGCTAATTTTTTGTATTTTTAGTAGAGACGGGGTTTCACCCTGTTGACCAGGATGGTCTCGATCTCTTGACCTCGTGATCCACCCGCCTTGGCCTCCCAAAGTGCTGGGATTACAGGCGTGAGCCACCGCGCTCGGCCTGATGGTGTCTTCTTAGGTCACCACCTTACTGATAGCAGAATGATTCTTCTTCTTGCTGCCCATCTTTGTGGAGCCATTTTCTGCTGGACCCAAGTTGGAAAGGAAGAGCATGGAAGATTCTCTGATTATTTACATTTTCTTTAATTTCTGTGAGCATGTTTTGTAGTCATCACTATGAAGTCTTGCATATTTTTGTCAAATTTATCCTTAAGCTTTTTCTATTTATTATTGTAAATGGTATTTCTTTTAAAGTTCAATTGCTAATTGGTCATTGCTGATCTATAGAAATAAAACTGATTTTTGTATTTTGAATTTTTTTCTACAGCCTTGCTAAACTCACTTATTCTAGCAGTTTTTTTCTGCAGATTCCATAGTGTTATCTGTAGAGCTGATCATAATATCTGTGGATAAAGACAATGCTATATTCTTCCTTACTAATATGTATGCTTTTAGTTTCTTGTATGATTGCATTGCTAGAATTTCTAGTGTAATACTGAATAGAAGTGATGAGTAGACATTCCTGGCCATGTTCTAGATCTGAGGGTGAAAGTAGCCTTTTGCCACTAACCAGGATGTTAGACACAAATTTTTCATATGTCCCCTTTATTAGACAGAGGGAGGTACCTTATATTCCCATATTCTTGAGAGTTTTTAAAAATCAGGAATGGATGATTTTTGTCCAATGCTTTTTGTGTCTGTCATAGGAGAGAGAGGGTCGATTGCAGTGCAGTGGCATGATCACAGTTCACTGCAACCTTGAACTCCTGGGCTGAAGTGATTCTCTTGTCTTAGCCTCCTGAGCAGCTAGGACTACAAGTAGTGTGTGCCACCATGCTTGGCTCATTTAAAAACAAACATATATATATATATATATATATATATATATATATATATATATATATATATATAAAGATGGGTCTTGCCATATGGCTCAGGCTAATCTTGAACTCTGGCCTCATGGGATCCTCCTATCTTGGGCTCGCAAAGTACTGGGATTATAGGGATTAGCCACCATGCCTGGCCCTGATTTTATTTCTTGAGGTCAAGTTTAAATACAGTTAAATTAAAAAATCCTATTTGTACCATTCAGTTAATTTCGGCAAGCCCATCCACTCATGTAAGTCAAATCCTTTTTAAGATACAGATCATTATGATTACCTAGAAAGTTCTCCCATACCACTTCTTAGACAGTCCCAACCCATAACCCCAAAGTCAAGTCCTGTTCTGATTTTCTTCCATAAACTAGTTGTGCTCTTTCTATAACTTCACATAAATAGAATCATATTGTATATATGTGTCTGTGTGTGTGTGTGTGTGTGTGTGTGTGTGAGAGAGAGAGAGAGAGAGAGAGAGAGAGAGACTTCTTTCGCTTGGAATAACATTTTTGAGATTCATCTATATCGTTACCTGTTTCAGTAGTTCTCTTTATTTAATGCTTTGTAGTGTAACTTAATATAATGTCATATTATTGCTTTATACCCTACTACATGGTCAATTTTCTTGAATGTTGTTAGTGTTCCTGAGAAGACTGGATGTTCTTTTTTCATTGGTTTTATGTTTCTCTGTCTGTCCTTTCAATTAATCTAGTTAATATGTTGTTTCTTCTTAATTTATTTAAAAATCTGTTGTTTCATATTTATACTGTAATTCTTCATATTTTAAAGTTATTTTAAAATTTAAATATAACAAAATTGATTTTTTGTGGCATATAACTTTATGGGTTTTGGTAGATGCATACAGTTGGGTCTTGACGCCAAAATCAAGATGCATAACAGTTTCATCAACTCCCCAGAAACCCTCATGTTGCTCTGCTATCAACCCTTCCATCCTTCTTCTATCAGGGAAATGGCCAATTTTTTTTCATCCCCTCAGTCTTGCCCTTTCCTCAATGCCATACAAATTTTGTTTCACTTAGCAAAATGCATTGAGATTGACCTATGTTGTTGCATGTATTAAAAATCATTCCTTTTTGTTCCTGAGTAGTAATGTATGAATATACCATAGTTTGTTTCTGTATTCACCGGTTGAAAGACATTTGGGTATTTTCATTATTTTGGCAATTAGGAATGAATCTGCTATAAACATTTCAGTACAGGTCTTTGTGTGAACATAGGTTTTATTTATTTATTTTTTTGCCAAATACCTAGGATTGGGATTGTTACATTTCATGTACATGTAATTTTAATTTTATATGATTTGGAAGGTTTTAAACTATAGATTCTGTCTCTAAACTCTGTTCAGGGTATCAGTTTCTTCTTGAATGAGCCTTGGTAGTTTTTTTCTTTCACAAAATATGTCCATTTTATCTGTTGAATTTATAGGCCTACGGTTGTTTCTCAGCTTCACAGATTATCTTTTTAATATATATGCAGTCCATGATAAAGACATATTTCTCCTTAATGTTTGAAATTTGTGTCTTCTTTTGAGGTTTATGGATTTTATAATCTTTTAAGAACCAGATGTTTGGATTCTTTGATTTTTCTCTAGTAACTTTCTGTTTTCTATTTAGTTGACTTCTACTCTGATCTTTATTATTTTCTTTCTTCTGCTTACCTTTGATTTAGTACTTTGAGTTTAACATAATACAGACAAATTTAATTTCTCTCTGGAAGTAAATTGACAGAAATTGACAGATTTCGAACCCTAAATCCAGATTCCTGTGGAATGTGTGTATGTGGTATTTAGGAGAAAACAGAAGACAGAACTTCGGAGATAAATAAATTGTGGTATTATGGTTTTTTTTTTTTGGGAGACGGAGTTTCGCTCTTGTTACCCAGGCTGGAGTGCAATGGCGCAATCTCGGCTCACCGCAACCTCCGCCTCCTGGGTTCAGGTAATTCTCCTGCCTCAGCCTCCTGAGTAGCTGGGATTACAGGCACACGCTACCATGCCCAGCTAATGTTTTGTATTTTTAGTAGAGACGGGGTTTCACCATGTTGACCAGGATGGTCTCGATCTCTTGACCTTGTGATCCACCCGTCTCGGTCTCCCAAAGTGCTGGGATCACAGGCTTGAGCCACCGCGCCCAGCCCGGTATTGTTTTTAATTAGTAGAAGAACAGAGGATTTTTCTTTTGGATATTGATCTTTCTGCCTGTTCATCTAACTTTATTTCAAACTCTGAATGAAGTATATCTGTAAATTATTAAAGGTGAAATTCCCATGATAAGCATTCTGATGTTTATAATAATACACAGATCCATTTGTGTTAAATATGTGACATCATTTAAATGGGGCGAAATACTATCTGACGGAATAAAATTTTATTCTTGTCTCTAATGTTAGCAGTTATTTAACCTAAAGGACTATGCAATGTTTACTTGAATTCAAAATAGTCATTTAAGTCCCCAAGTCTTCCCAAATGAGTAGCCGCTACCTCAACTAAGGTATATGGAATTTCTGGAGTTATTTTCATTTGGTATGCTGTGATATATTGGAGTAAGTAATTTCTGTAGTGTATGGAGTGGAATTTGTATTCCTGTTTTAGGTTGTCTTCCAAAGCCTGAATTAAGGAAATACGTTGCTCCACTGTTTGAATGTTCTATTTAAATATTAAAGCAGATTTGTTTTTCTCTGTAAATAGAAGTAATTTTATTTTTGAGAGATGAAATTGGCTTATCTGTTTTGGGTTCTATTTTTAAATGCTTATTTCTTTTGTAGTGTTCAAGAAGAGATATGGGTGGTATTACAATTGGAGAATTGATGAAGGGATGTGACATTTATAGCACTGTAAGAAAATTATTTTGTTTACTTTTCTAATCACTTAATATCACATTTTATTTTTTAGATCCTGTTTGACCAAACTCAGAGATCAATTAAAGCACAGCTTCAGAACTTTGTTAAAGAGTAAGTCAATTGCAGTGAAGAGGAAAGAAAATCAACTAGTTAATGATTAATCTGGGAGTTGGTATCTTTTGGAAGAAATTATATACCATGAAATCATTGAAAATATTGGAGTTTTTGTTAGCTTTGTGAAATGTGTGCTGCATTTCTTCCTAAATTATTCTGTAAGAAAATCAGACTTGATGTCTTTTAGTGAATCACTTACTTCATGAATATGTGTTCTGGAGAATACTTAGCTAGGATACATAGCTATAGGTTTAAAAAATTACTTTAATGTGAATAATCTAATTGGCCTTTCACAATCCAAAGCAAACCCCAAAAGGGGTTGAAATACTATTAGTTATTGTAGTTGAAACTATGTTTTCCATTATTTCAATGTGGCATTTTCTTTGAAGAGAAGATAATGGAATATATGAGAATGAGTCATGAAAGTACATAATTTTTGTTACATATGAGTATTTCTGTCACATTCATCACATTTTCTTTGTGAAATAAAATAGAACTAGAAATTTAAAAAAATCAGAAATTTCCGTATTAGGAAAGTTTTTCTTTTTCACATTAATAATACAGTTTTTCTCTTTAGATTCCTGATTAAGAATATATAAAATTACAGATAAAGTTGATTATAATAGAGCTGTAAAGTGGTGTTAGATCTCAGTAAGATAGCACACTATTTTAATAGGTTAGAATTTGTGGGTTCTGGAGGTTATGTATTACAGTTTTTTTTTCTTTCTTTCTTTTTTTAGTATAGAGACAGGGTCTGACAGGCTGGAGCTGGAGTACAGTGGCTTGATCATAACTCACTGTAACCTCCAATTCCTGGGCTGAAGTGATCCTCCGGCCTCAGCCTCCTGAGTAGTTAGGACTACAGGCATGCACCATCACTTCTGGCTAATTTATCTTTTATTTTTCATTATTTGTAGAGACAGGTCTCACTGTGTTGCCGAGGGTAGTCTCAAACTCCTAGCCTCAAAGCAGTCTTCTTACCTTGACCTCCGAAAGCACTGGGATTACGGACATGAGCCACTGCACCCAACCAGATTCTTTATAAATTACTATGTAATAGATTAACACTCAGAACGCCTTTGTAGAATGCACACATAACAGTTTATGGCTTCTTTCAAAGAGTTGAATATATTTCTTACATATATTTTATTATGATTTTTATAAAATCATTTATCTTTAAGTTATTTTACCTAACTCCCTAGTAGAAAAATAAAAGCGAAGGGATGTTATATGACTAAGATCATTCATGAACCAAGTGTTTCAGATTTTCAGACTATTAAAAGGGATACTGTTCCTCTTTGCTGATGCAGCGATTCTTTCAGAAATTGGTGTGTTCCAGCTTAGGGAATAATGTGAGACCACAGAAATAAAAAATAAAAATTAGCCTTGTGTGGTGGTATGTGACTGTATATAGTCCCAGCTACTTGAAAGGCTTGAGGTGGGAGATTGCTTGAGTCCAGGAGTTCGAGGCTGTAGTGAGTTCTGATCATGCCACACAGCATGAGAAACAAATGTTGTTTCTTTTTTTTTTTTTTTTTTTGAGACGGAGTTTTGCTCTTGTTACCCAGGCTGGAGTGCAATGGTGCGATCTCGGCTCACCGCAACCTCCGCCTCCTGGGTTCAGGCAATTCTCCTGCCTCAGCCTCCTGAGTAGCTGGGATTACAGGCACGCACCACCATGCCCAGCTAATTTTTTGTATTTTTAGTAGAGACGGGGTTTCACCATGTTGACCAGGATGGTCTCGATCTCTTGACCTCGTGATCCACCCGCCTCGGCCTCCCAAAGTGCTGGGATTACAGGCTTGAGCCACCACGCCCGGCTGTTGTTTCTTAAAGTGTGGTCTGTAGACCACCAGTAGTAGTAAAATTAAGGGTGTGTCTTAAAAATAAACTCCTCAGATTTCTAGCATTTGTCCTGAAGGCTAAAGAATTACAATCTCTCAGAAAGGACTCTGGAATTTGCATTTTTAACAAGTGCCCTATAGTGATTCTTATGTATACTACTGTTTAAAAATCACTTGGTGAAATAATGGTACATGTCACTAAAGTTGTCTTTAGAAAGACAGTTAACTTTTCCTTCATGTTTCTGTAGTGTTTACTTGATAATTTATTTTCACCTCAAGTTATGTAGATTTAAATAATGAAATTTTAGCTGACTTTCTCAGGATTTATACAAAATTGAGAAACTATATATTGTTTTAGTTTGAAGAGTAAATGTGTTTCAATAAGAGGTGAAACAAAAAATGGAGGAACATAGGAATTAAATTCTAAATGTTGCTTTACTAAAGTGTTTGTTTTTTAGAGATAGAGTGTTGCTCTGTTGCTCATCTTTGCAACCTCCACCTCCTGGGTTCAAGTGATTCTCCTGCCTCAGCCTCCCGAGTAGCTGGAACTACTGGCGTGTGCCACCACGCCCAGCTTATTTTTTTGTATTTTTAGTAGAGAAGGGTTTTCACCATGTTGGCCAGGATGGTCTTGATCTCTTGACCTCATGATCCACCCACCACGGTCTCCCAAAGTAATGGGATTACAGGTGTGAGCCACTGCGCCCACCGTGCTAAGGTTTTTTAATGAAGCAAGTTACAAAAGTTTCACCAAGTTTTTCTTTTTTTAGAGATCTTAGAAAATTCAAAGATGCCAAAAAGCAGTTTGAAAAAGTCAGTGAAGAAAAAGAAAATGCATTAGTAAAAAATGCCCAAGTACAAAGAAACAAACAACATGAAGTTGAAGAAGCCACCAACATTCTGACAGCAACAAGAAAATGTTTTCGACACATAGCCCTCGATTATGTGCTTCAGGTATATATTTTCTTACTGTGTATGTTTTCAGACAGTGTCTACTAAACAGGTTTTTACTTTTGAGTGATTGCCCTAAGAAGTATAAATACTTTGAGGGTAAAGTTAAAACATTATCTTTTGTGGAAAATTTCCATCTGTATAGCTGTTCATGTATCCATGTGTGTATGGATATATAGTCCTTTGGTTCTGAGTTCTGCAGCTTTTCTCTTAACATTATATTCCACATTTAAAAATGTTTAAAAAGCATTTTTAGTTGCTTTATTTTATTCTCTGGAATTGCTATATCAATTTATCCTTTATTGTACCAATTTATTTTTTCAGTAAATTTAGGGGTACAAGTGGATTTTTGGTCACATGATGAACTGCATAGTGGTGGTGTGTCGGCTTTCAGTGTATATGTCACTCCAGTAGTATACATTGTACCCAATAGGACATTTTTCATCCCTCACCTTCCTCCTGCTTTCCCCCTTTCTGAGCCTCCAGTGTACATTATACCACTTTGTATGCCCCTGAGAACCTGTAACTTAGCTCCTACTTATAGGTGACAATATACGGCATTTGGTTTTCCATTCCTTTGTTATTTGATCTAGGATAAGGGCCCCTAGTTCAATCTAAGTTGCTGTAAAAGACATTTATCATGTTCAAGTTTTACTGGCAATAGGGAAGATAGAATTTTCAGTAATTGGGCTTGGGCTGGGTGTGTTAATAACATCTTTACATTTCTTATTCCTTTAGAGTAGATTCTTAGAGGTACTAAGGCTCACCATATTGCCAAATAAAAAATCTTCCTAGAAGTAGTGTTATCCTATTATTGCATTAGGTGCTGTTTTTAAAAACTAGAAATCTGTATTTGGTAAGTTGCTTGGTCATCTTCCAGTCTAACGTATAATTGAAGCTAGTGTGAATGTGATAAGTCTCCAAAGATACTTGAGACACATGAAAACTGAAGGCATATTATATTGTGCGTTTCTATATATCATGGAATTTAAAGCCTAAAAAACCTTTAAAGCTTAGGGAATTACCTTACGTAATCTCCTTTCACAAAACAGTAGTGGTCGTCCTCAGAGATTGTTTACTTCACGATGATCACAGAGTACTTCCTTAAAAAGTATACAAGTAACCAAATAGAAATTAGTGATTAAAAATTACTTAGGTAACTTTGCAAAACAATAGAAAATTAAGTTTTTTTCTATTAAGTTCCTATTCAGTAAGTGGGAAGTTAAATTTTTTTTTTTTTTTTTTTTTTTGAGACTGAGTTTCGCTCTCGTTACCCAGGCTGGAGTGCAATGGTGCGATCTTGGCTCACCACAACCTCCGCCTCCTGGGTTCAGGGAATTCTCCTGCCTCAGCCTCCTGAGCAGCTGGGATTACAGGCACGTGCCACCATGCCCAGCTAATTTTTTGTATTTTTAGTAGAGACGGGGTTTCACCATGTTGACTAGGATGGTCTCGATCTCTTGACCTTGTGATCCACCCGTCTCGGCCTCCCAAAGTGCTGGGATTACAGGCTTGAGCCACCGCGCCCGGCCGAGAAGTTAAATTTCTAAAATGAATAGACTTTACTTTTGGAGGAAAGGTTACTAGACCGGCGTAGTCTGTTTCCTAGGTCCTGTTATCTACCTCACATTCATACATCATTTTCTGCTGTAGTATGAGTACTCACCCTGCCTAACCCACTGAAATGGTTCATGCAAGGGTTTTATTCACTAGACATATTTCAGTTTTTAACCAACTTGACTATTCTGTTTTACTGCAGTGGTAGACCATACTCTCCTTCTTGAAACAACCTTTTATCTTGATTTGTCTGAATCTGCTTTTAGGTCTTCCTTCTAACTTATGTTTCTTTTCCATTTCTGTTTTGGGCTTCACTCCTTTGTCTGCCTTTTTACTTTCCTTTTTAGGGTTCTATCTTTGGTTTTATTATTTTCTTACTTTATTGTTTTCTGCCAGTCTCATCATACCTCTTACTTGAATCACTACCTGTTATTATAGGTAGATGACCAAATATTTTTTTCACAGAGGTACCTCGTTGTCATTGTGTTTATAATTGAAGCCTCTCATCTTCCAAAATGGCTTCTCTTTCTGTTTTGCCCTCAATCCAGTTGAATGGTGTCACTCTTTTACTCTCACAGTAGTTCAAAATGAGAGAATTGTTTTAGATATTCTCTTCATTCTAAGCCATTACATCTAGTTGCCAAAATGTCTTGAAAATTTCTCCTATGTACCTCTTAAATTGGTTCTTTCTTACCCTTGCTGCAGACCTAACCAAGTCTTATTGTTTCTTGCCTCGTGTATTAAGATATTCTCATAAAATGGGTCTGCCTTGCATTGCTTTTACTTGCCCTGTTATTAATTCATTCTCTGTTTTGTGGTCAGGGTTACTCAGACTTCTCCAGGCCAGAGGAATTATTTTTGCCTCTGCCTTCTCTGCGTTGCCGTATTTTCGTACACATTGCAGTTAGACTACTTACATGTTTATTGTAAATATTTATTTATATATATTTTTCTATTTCTAAATTGTATCCCTAGCATCTAGTTTAGTGGTTAGAAAATAGATATGTAAGAATTGTCTTTTGAGAGAGTGAATGGCTTAATGTTACAAATTTTATTTTAGGAAGGTCAGCTAAAATTTTCATTATTTTTAAACTTATATATTATTTTCTTGGGCATCCATACAGTAAGTATAAGTTAGGAATGCTCACGCTGCCTCCCCACCACCCCCTCCCCCACCACCCAACAAATAACTATGTTTATGATTTTTCTGATGGGAACTATGGCATCATTTTATGGCCTTTATTTCATTTATCTCTACTTTAGAGAATAGTAAGTAAATAAATATCCAATTGTATAAAATTTGTCATGCTTGGCTGGGCGCGGTGGCTCACGCCTGTAATCCCAGCACTTTGGGAGGCCGAGGCGGGTGGATCACAAGGTCGAGAGATTGAGACCAACGTGGTCAACATGGTGAAACCCCGTCTCTACTAAAAATACAAAAAACTAGCTGGGCATGGTGGCGCGTGCCTGTAATCCCAGCTACTCAGGAGGCTGAGTCAGGAGAATTGCCTGAACCCAGGAGGCGGAGGTTGCGGTGAGCCGAGACCGCGCCATTGCACTCCAGCCTGGGTGACAAGAGCGAAACTCCGTCTCAAAAAAAAAAAAAAAAAAAAAAAAAAAAATTTGTCATGCTTAACTTCTTTAAATATTTGAGTTTACTTTTTTCCTCCAATAATTTAAATGATATATAATACAATTTAAATATTATATGAAAATCCTATTTTATATAGTATTTACTTTTTATATATAACATTTAAATTTAAAAATTTTATATAGCATTTACATTTTTTTTCAACTAGAAAAAAGACATAGAAAGCAGACATTTTAACATAATTCAACATTTGAGTAGTAGGCCATTTACAGCTTCTGGTTTACTTAGAGCATTTGAAAGTTAATATTGTAGTTCTCCAAAGTCAATAGGCTTTGAAATATATGCAGAAGAAACTAGTCTTGTTTGTTTGTTTGTTTTTGAGAAGGAGTCTTGCTCTGTTGCCTAGGCTGAAGTGTAGTGATGTGATCCCAGCTCATTGCAACCTCCATCTCCAGGGTTTAAGTGATTCTTCTGCCTCAGCCTCTCAAATAGCCGGGATTACAGGTACCCACCACCACGCCTGGCTAATTTTTATGTTTTTAGTAGAGATGGGCTTTCACCATGTTGGCCAGGCTGGTCTCAAACTCTTGACTCCAAGCAATTCGCCCGCCTCGGCCTCCCAAAGTGTAAGGATGAGCCGTCACGCCCGGCCAGAAACTAGTCTTATAGTTAAGTAAAGTTACTTAGATTTTTCTTGTTCTGTTTTAATGTTTTATTTAGTGCTTTAAAATTATTTGATAAAATATAGAATTCAGTGGGAAGAACATATTTAAAAGATACTTTATAATCTTTTGACAGTATTGGCAAAAAGTGAACGATTCTTTTCTTAGATAAATATTTTATTTCATTAAGCTGATATATAATAACAGACAAAAATAAAATGTTTGTTGTGAATTTCTAGAGTTGGGAGAGATCCCATCAAAGGCAAGCATCTTAATGATCCTTCGGTAAATTTAGTCTAATTAAAACATTTACTTAAGATCTGTCTGGATGCAGGGGCTCATTCCTTTAATCCCAGTGCTTTGGGAGGCCAATGTGGGAAGATTGCTTGAATTGAGGAGCTTGAGACCAGATTGTGCAACATAGTGAGAAACTATCTTTACGAAAAGTAAAAAAATTAGCTGGATCTGGTACTATGTACCTATAGTCCCAGCTACTCAGGAAGCTGAGATGGGAGAATTGCCGGGGGCTAAGGCAGGGGGATTGTGTGGCCAGGAATTTCAGGCTGCAGTGAGATCTTATCATGCCACTGCATGCCAGAGTGGGCAATAGAGTGAGACTTTGTCTCTAAAAACAAAACAAAATCTGTTAATTTATTTAAGAAATATTTGACTTGCTCCTTTACTATTTGAATACCTTTTATTTCTTTTTCTTGCCTGATTGCTCTGGCTAGAACTTCAAGTACTATTTTGAATAGGAGTGGAGAGAGAGGGCATCCTTGTCTGGTGCCAGATTTCAAAGGGAATGCTTCCAGTTTTTGCTCATTCAGTATGATATTGACTGTTGGTTTGTCATAAATAGCTTTTATTATTTTGAGATACATTCCATCAATACCTAGTTTATTGAGGGTTTTTAGCATAAAGGGCTAGTGTCCTTTGTAGGGACATGGATGAACCTGGAAACCATCATTCTCAGCAAACTGACACAAGAGCAGAAAATCAAACACTGCATGTTCTCACTCATAGATGGGTGTTGAACAATGAGAACACATGGACACAGGGAGGGGAGCACTACACACTGGGGTCTGTTGGGGGCAAATAGGCGAGGGACAGTTGGGGGTGGGGAGTTGGGGAGGGATAGCATGGTGAGAAATGCCAGATATGGGTGATGGGGAGGAAGGCAGCAATCACACTGCCACGAGTGTATCTATGCAACAATCTTGCATGTTCTTCACATGTACCCCAAAACCTAAAATGCAATTTAAAAAAATAAAATAAAAAAATAAAGAAATATTTATTGAATGCTTAGTGTTGCTACTATAGCTGGGAATAAGACAGAGACCCTGGTCTCACTAGAACTTACTCTTTGGTTAGGGAAAAGACACAAATAAATCAGAAAATATAAGGTAGTTATAAATGTTCTGAGTAAAATAAATAGGATTGGTATACTAGACAGTGCATACGAAGCTACTGTAGACCTTTGTGAGGAGGTGTGAGATAGCGTTGAATCCATCTAAGCAGAACGTCACAACATGTAGACAGAACAGTCAGTACAAAGGCATTGAGGTAAGTGCGGTCCTGGGCTGTGGTTGGTGCACAGAAAGGGGGAAAGTAATAAAAAACTAGGTTGAAGAAGTAGGCAGAGGCCACATCACAGTGGGCCTTGCCAGCCATGATAGGAAGTTGGAGGGTGTTATGGTAGAGGTAACATGATCTTATTTATATTTTTATTATTTATATTGATGAGCAATTAGAATAAAGAGGGTGGGAAAAAAGATGAAATTACCAGAACTTCAGATGTCAAAATAGTTCCATCACTCTAATATAGTTTAAATAACTAGCTTTTTTTTTTTAAGCTCAGAAATGTAAGAGGATTTCATGGGAATGTTTGTCTTAACTGTGTTTTGCAAAGGGATGGTCGAAGGATCAAAAATTTGAGCTCTGTTTTTGTTTGCTTTTTGGAAAAGTATTAACCATTAAACAAGTTTTACAATATTACGTTATAGATTAGCTTTAAAATAATGCATGGGAGATTAACCAGATGTGTTTTCCCTCAGATTAATGTTCTTCAATCAAAAAGGAGATCAGAAATCCTAAAATCAGTAAGATATTATTTGAAATGATATTTTAAATATTTTAATATGAAACTAAATGTACATATTTAGGTGTTGAAAGAGCATCTGATATATACATGGCAAGGTTTATGATTGCTCTTCTTTTTGATCTTCATTTGTATTTGTGGCACTGAGCTTCTTTTTGTCTCCTTCATGTTATAGTTGTTTGTGTATCTCATCTGTTGATACACTGTGAGGTCCGTAAAGGCAGACTATGTACTGTTGCGTTTTTGTTTTCTTTTATACTTTTCTTTTTTTTTTTTTTGAGACAGAGTTTCGCTCTTGTTACCCAGGCTGGAGTGCAGTGGTGCGATCTTGGCTCACCGCAACCTCTGTTTCCTAGGTTCAAGCAATTCTCCTGCCTCAGCCTCCCGAGTATCTGGGATTACAGGCACACGCCACCATGCCCAGCTGATTTTTGTATTTTTAGTAGAGACAGGGTTTCACCATGTTGACCAGGATGGTCTCGATCTCTTGACCTTGTGATCCACCCGCCTCAGCCTTCCAAAGTGCTGGGATTATAGGCGTGAGCCACCGCGCCTAACCTCTTTTATGTTGCTTTACATGCACTAGATGCCCAGTACCATTTGGTGAATAACTAAAAGTGCTTGGTGTGAAAACCTGTGAGAATATTTCAGAATTGTTTTGAGAGTTAGGAACGTAAAAAACTTACATTTAGGCTTTGGATTTTTTCTCACTTGTTTTGCCTTAAACATTTTTGCCCAACCTCTCAACATATTTGCATTTTTCTCTGTAATTTTTTGCATTGTTTAAAAATATTTGAGATTGAGGATTTACATAAATAGTATCATTTGGAGAATTTTTCCATTAAAGTTGAGGATGGATCAGTCTTCTGGTTTGTTCTTTGGTATGCAGTTACAAAACCAGTGGGATGAAATTTGGTGATCACTTTTTTCCTTGAGCCTCTTCACCCACATGATGATTGTTTTTTGGTGAGGAGCCCTTTTTTTGATCTTAAAGCTAATGAAAGCCGGTTGCCTGGGCTCATGCCTGTAATGCTAAGATCTTGGGAGGCAAGGTGAGTGGATCACCTGAGGTCAGGAGTTCAAGACCAGCCTGTCCAACCTGGTGAAACCCTGTCTCTACTAAAAATACAAAAAAATTAGCTGGGCGTGGTGGCAGGTGCCTGTAATCCCATCTACTTCTGGAGGTTGAGGCAGGAGAATCACTTGACCCTGGGAGGCGGAGGTTGCAGTGAGCCGAGATCACACCGTTACACTCCAGCTAAGTTACAAGAGTGAAACTGTCTCAGCGAACCCCCAAAAAACAAAAGAAAACAAAAAAACAACAAAACAAAACTTATGAAGAAGTGGACAGGGCATGATTTGGTATAGCATAGCACTCTTTATATTTTGATAGCCTTAGTAATAATCTCTCAACTTTGAATTATTTACTGACTTTTCCCCCAAAAGGCTATACTTAAGTTGCCTTAGATTCTGTCCCCACCTAGCTTTTTTCTAAATTTTATGTATATATTTGTGTCATATCTTATTAGGTAAACACATTGTACTTCCTGTTTTTAAAAAGATAATATTTATACCTCTCTTGTTTTCCAGATTGACAGTAATGTGTATTAATTGTAGAAAATTAGAATGCATATGACGAAAAAATAAAAACTACCTAGAAATTCTGCTACCACGGGGGAGCCACTATTAATATCTTGGCATACATCTTCGTCTTTTTCGCTCTTTCTGTGTGTGTGCATGTATGTGCGCGCATGTGCATCCATGCATGCATGTGTGTGTGTGAATATGTGTACATGAACTTGTATATATGCCTTTTAAAATCATATTTTTTAATTGGAATCATTCCTCCATACTATTTTATAACTTCTGTTTTCACTAATATACTGCAAAGTTATATGTCATTAAATATCCTTTATGTAATGATGGCTTTTGCGGCCAGGTAGAACTCTACCACGTGAATATGCAAGGGATTGGCAAATGTTTTCTGTAAAAGTCCAGGTAGTAAATATGGTAGGTTTTAAAGGCCTCATGGTCTCTGTCGGAATTACTCAACTGTGCTATTATAATAAGAAAGACCGTATGTAAATGAATGGTCATGGCTGTGTTCCAATAAAACTTACTTAGAAACTCAAAAATTTGAATTTCATATAATTTTCACATATACATTTCATATATTTTTATTATCTTTAAATCATTTAAAGATGTAAAAACCATTCATAGCTCATGGACTATCAAAAAACAGCTGGTGAGGCCTAATAAAGTTTGCAGGTCATAGTTTACTAACCTTGAAGAAATATACCACAAATTAATTTCACCTATTAATGAATATTCAAATAATTTCCTTGTTTTTGACATTAAAACATTGCTAGCATTGTCGTGATCATTCTAATGAATAAACCTGTTATTTTCTTAGGATAGATTTATAAACTAGAGATTACGTAGTCAGGATTTAGGCTTTAGAAAAATATTGTCCAATTTCAAGGGTTATACAATATTTCCCCTAATATTGTGTGAAAATGAATATTTCTTCACATTTTGCCAACACTGAGCATTCCAGTTTTTCCCCCAAGCTCTCCCTAGTTTGGTGGATAGAAAGCATGATCTCATTATTCAGTTTTGCATTTTGTTAATACAAATGAGTTTAAACATTTTTCCGTATTTTTTTTTTGGCCACTTATGTACCTCCTATGTCGTTTGTCTCTTTTTCTGTTGGAGTGTTCATCTTTTCATGTTGATTTGTAACGTCTCTTACATCTTAAGACTGATAACTCCTTGTCATGTGTTTTTTCCTAGTTTATCATTTGTCTTTTAATATACTTGTTTTGCATTTTAATGTACAGGGATATTTTATATTTTTATGTAATCCTAGCTATTAATCCCATCCCTCTTTTAAAATTTTTAATTGATTTTTTAAATAATTTATTTGTTTTTATTATATTCACAAATTTGGGCAATGATTACCATTATCTAATTGCAGAATAATTTTTCTCTTCTGAGTTTTACCTTTTGTCTCTGTGTTTTAATAGTTTTTTTTTGGAGGATTTTTGAGTATTAAGGACCTTATGACCTATTTTAGACTACAGAAAATTGAACAGATGCCACTTGTTAAAAATAACATGGATGTGGCTGGGCACGGTGGCTCAAGCCTGTAATCCCAGCACTTTGGGAGGCTGAGGCAGGTGGATCACTTTATGACCGAGGCGGGTGGATCACTTTATGAGGTCAAGAGATCGAGACCATCCTGGTCAACAAGGTGAAACCCTGTCTCTACTAAAAATACAAAAAATTAGCTGAGTGTGGTGGTGCGTGCCTGTAATCCCAGCTACTCAGGAGGCTGAGGCAGGAGAATTGCCTGAACCCAGGAGGCGGAGGTTGCGGTGAGCCGAGATCGCGCCATTGCACTCCAGCCTGGGTAACAAGAGCGAAACTCCGTCTCAAAAAAAAAAAGGATGTTTAGAATATTTTTTCAGTGTTATTCATGTAATTATATAATTCCTTTTATGTAAAAACTTAATAAAATGAGGGTGATTTTTCTCTTTAAAATAGATAAAATATGGGAAAACTTGGACAAATCTCAGCCCATTAATGTTAAGTTTTTAGATTTGGTGGTATGACTAAAGAAACCTCCATATTGGCAAATTCACTTGACTCATTTTATTTTGGTATCTTGAGAGAAAAACCAGCTTTCTCCTACTTGAGATTGTGCTTGGTGCTCTAGGAGATTGTAAAGTGTTTGTGTTTTATTTTGATCACTTTATTTTCCTCTGTCTTATCTTTTTGTCTTTTTTTACAATTTAAAGTTTGTCAGTGAGCTTGGTTGAAGGAGCACATAAAAATGGATGTAGAAAGAAAGTAGAGTTACTGAAAATTGGATTATTTGAATCTGCTATATACATTTTGATCACCTAGATATACTCTAAACAACTAAAATTTGGGGCATTAAAAAACTTGAAACCACTGGGAAATTTCTTTTAAATAAAACTTATTTTCATTGTATTTGAAAACATTTTTGAAATACTCTAAAAAAACAGATGACTCAGTTTAATTTTCAAATAGGTTTGATGAGCTGGGCACGGTGGCTCATGCCTATAATTCCAGCACTTTTAGAGGCCAAAGTGGGAGGATTGCTTGAGCCCAGGAGTTCAAGATCAGCCTGGGTAATGTGCTGAGACTTTGTCTTTACAAAAGAATAAAAAAATTAGCTGAGTATGGTGGCACAGGCCTCTGGTCTCAGCTACTTAGGAAGCTGAAATGGGAGAATCTCTTGAGCCTGGGAGGTCCAGGTTGTAGTGAACTTTTCTTTGTGCCACTGCATGCCAGGCCTGGGCAACAAAGCAAGAGCCTTTGTCCTGTCTGTCTGTCTGTCTGTCTGTCTGTCTGTCTGTCTGTCTGTCTATCTATCTATCTATATATATAAAATATTTCAGAATATTTAGGTCTAGATTTTAAAATGGTCATCTTTTTTCCCCCCTATTAGATGTTATCATTTATGTATGCCCATTTGGCCTTCTTTCATCAAGGATATGATCTGTTTAGTGAACTTGGACCCTACATGAAGGATCTGGGTGCACAGGTAATGTTGCACTATGTTTCTTAATTCAGTTTTATACACTGATAATTGTATTTTTAAAGAAATTTAGCATATTGGAGGTGTAATCGTCTGTTCTCAACACTGCTATAAAGAGCCGCCTCAGACTGGGTAATCTAGAAAGGAAAGGTCTAATTGACGCACAGTTCTGCATGGCTTGGGATGCCTCAGGAAACTTACAATCATGGTAGAAGGCAAAGAGAAAGCAAGGCACCGTCTTCACAAGGTAGCAGTGGGGAGAATGAACGCAGGAGACACTACCAAACACTTACAAAACCATCAGATTTCGTGAGAACTCACTCACTGTCACGAGAACCAGCATGGGGGAAACTGCCCCCATGAGTTAGTTACCTCCACCTGGTCTCTCTCTCGACACATGAGGATTATGGGGATTATAATTCAATATGAGATTTTGGGCAGGGACACAGTCAAACCGTATCAGGAGGACTTGACATTTCATTTACTTAATGAAGAATGAAGTTTGATGCTACAGCAGATTTATAGATGAGTTAAATTCCCAAATGTTTGCAGTTTGAGTATACCCAAAAATGAAATCAACGGTAAAAAGAACCTTATGGTATAGATTGTATATGAAGGTATTGAAAAGGAGAATTTAAAAACAAAGTGTTTGTTCTGCAGTCTACGTAACTGGACTTATTTTTAAATGTCTTACATTTGGATAATTGAGTTATTCTTCTAATTTGCTTTTTATTTGAGTTATATCTCTTTTTTTATTTTCCCAAAAATGGTATCTTGCTATTTGAATAAAAAAAAATTAGAATCTTAAAATTACAGAGCTCTTGGGTACTTTTTCATTTCATACAGTCACATGTGGCTATCTGTGGCTTTGTGTATAGTTCTCTACATATATACAAATTGTATATATATATATAAATTTAATTGTGTTCAAATTATTTTTACATAGCTGATCAGAACTTTATATTAGATCTGTTCTGGGGACATTGTTTTTTATTGACGAACATTCTCAATTTAACAATGTTTTTAGGTGATTTTCTTTCTCAAGATGTTTCAGTTTAGTTTTCAAGAGAAGGGGATTAATGATGAAATACAGAGTTTAGGCCAGGCACTGTGGCTCATGCTTATAATTCCAGCACTTTGGGAGGCTGAGGCATGCAGATTACTTGAGGCCAGGAGTTTGAGACCAGCCTGGCCAACATGGTGAAACCCTGTCTCTGCTAAAAATAGAAAAATTAGCTTTTTTGCTGGCTCCCCACTCCCCACTGAGTGCCACTCTGCCTACATCGCGCCCCCTCAGAGCTTTGGGCTCCTGCTAACCTAGCGCCACCGTGGTCTCCCTTCAGCCGCCATCATGATTATTTACCGGTACCTCATCAGCCACATTGAGATGTTCTCTGACATATACAAGATCCGGGAGATCGCTGAAGGGCTGTGCCTGGAGGTGGAGAGGAAGATGGTCAGTAGGATAGAAGGTAACATTGATGGTTCGATTATTGGTGGAAATGCCTCCGCTGAAGGCCCTGAGGGCGAATGTATGGAAAGCACAGTAATCACTGGTGTCGATACTGTCATGAACCATCACCTGCAGGAAACATATTCCACAAAAGAAGTCTACAAGAAGTACATCAAAGATTACATGAAATCAATCAAAGGCAAACTTGAACAGAGACCAGAAAGAGTAAAACCTTTTATGACAAGAGCTGCAGAACAAAGCAAGCACATCTTTGCTAATTTCAAAAACTACCAATTCTTTATTGGTGAAAACATGAATCCAGATGGCATGGTATTGGACTACTGTGAGGATGGTGTGACCCCATATATGATTTTCTTTAAAGATGGTTTAGAAATGGAAAAATGTTAACAAATTTGGCAGTTACTTCAGATCTATCACCTGTCATTGTTGCTGGCTTCTGCTTGTCATCCACACAGCACCAGGACTTAAGACAAAGGGAACTGAAGTCATCCTGAGCTCTTTATTTATTTTGACCATGATTTATTTGGAGTGGAGGCATTGTTTTTGAGAAAAACATGTCATGTAGGTTGTCCAAAAATAAAATGCATTTAAACTCATTTGAGAGAATGCCTTGTAGTTTAATATATATTTAAACTAACTTTATCCTGTAGTGTTCCTGGAGAAGCTAGAGACTGGTTGTAAGCTACTAGAAAGAATTAAGACTCATCAATTAACTTCTACTAAACTACTTCTGGAATATAAAAAAGAAGCAAAGGTTTTGATTGTGATTTGCAATAAAGGGAAAGACCATCCTCATAGCAGTGCCAACATCTGAAGTGGAGCCTTACACATTTCACCATCTACAACGGAAGTAGTTAACTCGAAGAGTTTACCCAGAGAATAAAAAGAGACTCATTCAGTTGGAAGCAACTTTGTTTCAGCAGATAAAGAGAGCCAAGTCTCTTGGGATGAATGTTAAACTCCCTGGTAGCTAGAAGGGGCTGACTGGCAAATTAGCCTGTCCAGCCACCTGTTTTGTACACTTTAAGGTGCTTGGTTGCATTTTTAAATGGTTGATGGGAAAATAAAAATTTTAAAAAAAAATTAAAAAATTAGCCGGGCGTGGTGGTGTATGCCTGTAATCCCAGTTACTCCAGAGGCTGATGCAGGAGAACTGCTCAAGCCTGAGAGGCGGAGTTCATAGTGAGCCAAGATTGGGCCATTGTACTCCAGCCTGAGTGACAAAGGGAAACGGTCTCAAAAAAAGGAAAAAAAAAAAAAGAAAAATAGAGTTCAAGGAAAAAGATAAGAGTTGAATGGGAATTGAAATTACTGAACAGAGTGTATGTCAGGTGTGGTGTGTGTATGTGTCTATGCCACGGATTACATGAATTCTGTTTTCTGCCTTGGCAGAACTTAGTCTCTCAGGAGAAACCAACAAGTCACCACACTGGTAATCTCTGTGCTGAATATCTTATGTGGGTGTAACAGTTGGGATTAGGTTTGCTTGCAAGTAATAGAAAACTGACAATACTAGTAGCTGAAAATAGAGAGTTTTATTTCTCTTATGTAAAGTCAAAGGCATGGTGTAGTGGCTACTTGGTTAGCAGGAATGCAGGCTTATTTTTTTGATTCTAACTCATGGTTCAAAGTGGCTAATCAAGTCACTAGCTATTATACCCAAATTACAGCTAATAGGAAGAAGGAGAGAAGAAAGAAAGATACATTTTCTCTCTTTAAACACATTTCCTAGAAATTGTACATATTACTTCTAAGTATATCCCAATGCCAAGTGCTTAGTCACAGGGTCACGATAGTTGAAAGGGAAATTAACTTTAATGCCAGGTAGCCACGTGATCTGCTAGAATTTAGGGGGTCCATTCTTAAGAAGGAGAAAACTTAAATTGAGGGACAGCTGGCCTTTTCCATTGTATTGGAAAGGTTCAAAGTGTTGCAGGAACATATAGACAGGACGTGTAAGCCAGACTTGGGGGGAACGAAAGACCTTCATAGGTTTTAGACATTCCTCATAATACTATCAAATATTAGATTGCCCTCTCACATTCAGCATAATTTATAAAAGCAGTATGAGTTCAGTTGCAGTTGTCTAGCTGAAATAGTTATATATTTTTAAGACATTTAATCATTTTAGTTTTATAGGTTTTCCCCCACTCTAGATCTCAAAGCTGCAGGTCCTTGAGAAACAACATCTAAGCCACAGACCCTGTAGTGCCTAGTGGATAGACGGCCAAGTTGGAGGTGGCCTGTTACGAAATTCTTTTCGCAATTAGTAGATAATGGCATCTGAAACTAACTACATGGCAGTAGAGATAGAAATGGTTAGATTTGAGGGTTAAGATACAGTCAATTCGAGGGTGGAAGGGCATGAGTTGACAAATACATTGATTTGTGAGGATAAGATGTGTAAATGGATGTGTGTGTAGCTCAAGAGAGGGACATACACTGAGTCAGTAGCATATAGTTGCTGACTGCAATTACAGGAGTGGGTGAGTTGATGGGGGGGGTGAGTTAGATATCTGAATCATAGAGCTTTTTATTCTAAAAATTTTTTTTTCTTTCTTTTGATGGAGTCTCGCTCTGGTGGACAGGCAGTGGTGCGATCTCGGCTCACCATAACGTCCGCCTCCTGGGTTCCAGCGATTCTGCCTCAGCCTCCTGAGTAGCTGGGACTACAGGCGCATGCCACTATGCCTGGCTAATTTTTTTATTTTTAGTAGAGATGAGGTTTCACCATGTTGGCCAGGCTGGTCTTGAACTCCTGACCTCATGATCTGCCCGCCAGGGCCTCCCAAAGTGCTGGGATTACAGATGTGAGCCACTGCACCTGGCCCGTAGAGGTAATTTGTTTATTTATTTTTGTTTATTTTTTGAGATAGAGTCTCACTCCACAGCCTCCGCCTCCCAGGTTCAAGCATTCTCCTGCCTTAGCCTCCTGAGTAGCTGGGACTATAGGCATGTGCCAGCACACCTGGATAATTTTTTTGTATTTTTAGTAGAGACAGGTTTTTACCATCTTAGGCAGGATCTCAATCTCCTGACCTCGTGATCTGCCCATCTCGACCTCTCAGAGTGCTGGGATTACAGGCATGAGCCAACACACCTGGCCCGATAGAGCTACTTTAAAAAAAAAATCTAGGTGCATAGACATTGTAAAGATTTTTATTTTGTAAGTTAAGGTTGAGGTCCCCTGGTGTTGAGTAAAAAGAGAAGCTGACTTGGAATAGGGACCTAAGAAGGACTGATTTTTGAGATGGCTAGGTAAGAGAAGCTATGTGAGGACGTAGATGAACAAGGAAGTGGAAAAACAGGAGACTGGCATCATAGGCCAGGAAAAGTGTTCCAAAGGGAACACTTCAATTATCAGAAAGTTATCAGCTTCAATTATTAGAAAGTTAAGTAAACCTAGGACTGAGAAATACCTGTTGAATTTAGCAGCAAAAAGTTGTTACCTGTCTGAGAGATGCTGTTTCCATTAAGTTGGGGACTCAAGCAGTAGAATTTGAATTACAGTGGGTAGATGAGTATGAAATGGGCAAGTATAGAAGGTGGCAATGTTTTAAAGAAGTTGTGTTATAAAGGAAAGAGGGAAGGAATGTGGTAGCTGGAAAAAGTATGGGTTAGAGGTTTTATTAAGGTAGAATGATTTGCATCAACTTAAAAGCAGATGGGAATGGGCCTAGTTCAAGAGGGAGAAGTTGAAAAGGAGAAAGAGAAGTGATGATATCTGAGATTGGTGGGAATAGAAGGGATTTAAAACAAAGAGGGACCAGGGATACCTGCTTAGTTATAGGTACCTATTAAAATTCATAATGTGCAATACTAACACAAACTTGGGATACTTTTCTCTGCTCCAAGTTATCTTCCTGATACATTTCCTGGTGTCTAGAAGATAAGACTCTGCCAGTCTTCACATTTCCTCAATTCATGCCTCCCCTCAAACTCCCACCATCATGAAAGTTGGTTTTCTTTACACTTTTTCCCCATAAGAGAGGGGGAATTGTCCCTACTTTTCTGTTGTAATAACAGTGGGGTTAGAGATGCAAGAGGCATTTATTACCAATTAGGTAGTAAACCATCACCTACATTGCAGAATTCATCTGCAAAGTATATGCTTGCATGGCATATTTGTAAATATTTTGAGTTTGGGACTTATCTCATACTGTACTTCAGTGTGAATGAATGAATAAATAATATTTATATACCATTCAATTAGAGCCATAAAAACCATAGGATGCTTAGTCCACTCATTCTGCATAAGAAGCTGTTGTGAGGGTATGTTTTCCTAGTGCAACATGTACAGCTTTACCCACTAAACCAATGCTGCATGTTCCTAAGGTATGTATGTATTAGATCCTAAAGTAGAATAGTGTAGTTGCCACTTATGTCAGGTACTTTACGATAGTGATAGTTCTGTTTCATTTCCGTTCTGGGTATTTTTTTTTCTTTTTCTTTTTTTTTTTTTGAGACGGAGTTTCACTCTTTGTTACCCAGGCTGGAGTGCAATGGCACGATCTCGGCTCACCGCAACCTCCGCCTCCTGCGTTCAGGCAATTCTCCTGCCTCAGCCTCCTGACTAGCTGGGATTACAGGCACGTGCCACCATGCCCAGCTGGATTTTAGTATTTTTAGTAGAGATGGGGTTTCATCATGTTGACCAGGATGGTCTCGATTTCTTGACCTCGTGATCCACCCGCCTTGGCCTCCCAAAGTGCTGGGATTACAGGCTTGAGCCACCGCACCCGGCCATGGGTATTTTTTTTGTTGTTGTTTTCATTACTCAGTGATATTCTCTGTGACCAAGACTTTTAAAAAATGTAGCTTTTAAAAGATACAACTTAAAATGTTTAGACATTTAATGCTTATCTTTATCATATTCCTGCTGATCTGATATGTATGTTTTAATTTATTCATTTATCAAACATATGTTAATCATTTAGAGGTGATGGAGGTTCAGAGTTCGAAAGGCATCATCATAGTCTGGACCAGGCATCTCAAACTCCGGCTGCTGGCCGCGTGTGGCCCCCTGAGGCCATTTATCCGGCCTCCCACCGCACTTCAGGAAGGGGCACCTCCTTCATTGGTGGTCAATGAGAGGAGCACAGTATGTGGCGGCCCTCCAACGGTCTGAGGGACAGTGAACTGGCCCCCTTTGTAAAAAGTTTGGGGACGCCTGGTCTAGACAATGAAACCCACACAATTAATAATATATAACCCAGTTATTGTTAGTTTAACAAATAGGATTTTAGGAAGCAGGTGTGTTTCTCATCACATCTTACTGGAAATCAAATGCTTCCTTTATGATAGAAAGGAAAATCATCCTTTCTAATGCAAAGGAACAAGAAAGAAATGGATTTTATAATCTTACACTAAGTTTTTTTAGCTTTTAAAAATGATCCTTGAGATTGCTGATTTCTTACCTTGGTCTTATGAATGATTACTATTTTTTTTTAAGCTTTTTCTTTTATCTGGTGAATTATTTTTTTCTTCTTTTCAGATTTGATTATAATATTAGGGAGCCAGCATGAAAACCTGAAGAGGCATATTGAATGATTGGAAGTAGCTGTTAGAGTGAATTTGTGAGAGCTGGTTTAGCTGGTTTAGTACTAGTTTAGCTGCACTACTTTTTGCTGTTTGAGAAATAAGTCACCATTGTCTTCTTTGTTTCTTTTTTTTTTCTTTCTTTTACGTATCAGAATTTGCTTAGTGGGTCAGCACGCAGCTTAAGCTAGAGTCATTTTCCTTCTTCAAGGATTGAATGTGTATCATTGCAATACCTGTGATAAGGCCTCTGTAATATATGTGGCACCATGACTATTCTTGGAAATTTTTTTTTCTAGTGGAGGTTTGGATCTTTTCAAAGAGAACTTGATAGCAGAAAAAAATATGAACTTCTACTTCAAAGTTTAGCCGAACCTTTTAAAATAAGCTTGAATGGAGTGATTTTTAAATTATATTTATCTGTGAAATGATTTGGAATATGATTTGAAAAAATAATCCATGCCTTTTTTTAAGTCTACAGTTTTCTCTTTTTCCCTTTTTACAGTTGGATCGACTGGTTGTGGATGCAGCAAAGGAGAAAAGAGAAATGGAGCAAAAACATTCCACCATACAACAAAAGGTACCTCAGGGGAAAAATTAAAAATTAATTCAGTTTTATACAATTGCCTGGTTGTTGGTTTATGCAAGGTATCATTATATTGGAACAAATCCTTGTGAGTTGTTTTAATAATTAAATTGTGCAGATAAATTTCTCTTCTGTTTTTGAAGAGCAAAATATTCTTCAGATTTTAAGATACGTATATTGTTATTTTTTCAGATCAAAACATTTGAAAGCCATGCTCCTCGAACTAGTTTATGAAAACTTGAACTTAGGGCCTTAACTAAGCTAAAAGTGGCCTTTAGTTAGAATTTAAAACACTATCATAATTTCATCTAGGATACTACCAACTCCCTGTAAAAATGTGTGTGTCCATGTCTCTGTGTTACGGGGCGAGTTGTGGATGATGCACCTTAGTGTCAACATGTGTGCTTGGTCTTACACACTTTACAACTGCAGTCCCTGTCAGGCAGCCTTTCCTGTCTTTCATGTGATGCTAAAACTTCACTTACATTGCCTGTTAAATTACCTAAGCCTAGCTAAACTTACTTTGAAAAAAAAAGTTTTTAAAAATGAAAACTCAAATATTAAACCAGTTTTTATTTCCTCTTAGTAAGAGTTGAACGTGACATGCCTGCAACTCAGCCTGATAATATTTTCTTATATGTAGTCAGTGATACTTTTTATGTAATTATCTGAAAATAGAAGGAGGGATTTGAAGTTGAATATAGAAATGTAAGTATGTATAAGATGCCTTCTGGCATTGCTTTAAGAAATCTGTTTTCTTGGTATTGAGCAGTGAAATCAACTTCTTGATGGTTTATTTAGAATTTAAAGTACTAGTAAACTATATCTGACATAGAAGATGTCAGTGGAAAAAAATGAAAACAAAATCAGTGATTAAGAAAAATTTAATTGATGATGGATTATTAGTGCTCATAGAAAGATAGTATGAAAATGGGAAAGATTTTCTACAAGACCATCTTTAAAATAGTTACTTTCTAGTTAGCGTCAGGTGAGGCAAACTACACGTTTTATTTTGTTTTGTTTAAAGTTAGATTAACTTTTGTTTTGGTAATTGTTTTTTTGTTTTTTTGTTTTTTTTTTTTTTTTTTTTTTTTTTTTTTTTTTTTGTTTTTTTTTGTGCTTTTTTGAGATGGAGTTTCACTCTTGTTACCCAGGCTGGAGTGCAATGGCGCTATCTCGGCTCACCGCAACTTCCGCCTCCTGGGTTCAGGCAATTCTCCTGCCTCAGCCTCCTGAGTAGCTGGGATTACAGGCATGTGCCACCGTGCCCAGCTAATTTTTTGTATTTTAAGTAGCGACGGGGTTTCACCATGTTGACCAGGATGGTCTCGATCTGTTGACCTCGTGATCCACCTGCCTTAGCCTCCCAAAGTGCTGGGATTACAGGTTTGAGCCACCGCGCCCGGCTGGTAATTGTTTTTTTAAGTTGACAAATAAAAATTTTATATAATTAGTGTGTACAGCGTGATGTTTTGATGGGTAGATAGTTTTAATGACATGATCATGAAAAGATTGTTAAAAATTGGAATCAATTGTTTTTAATTAAAATGAGATAACATGGTATTTGTAGAAATACATGAATATTTCCTTAAATTGAATTATTTAATAAACATGCATCTTTTAATATCTTTTCCTATTGTGAACACAGTTCATTGCAAAAATGGTAAATTATTAACTCTAAGAATAACTTACTTGATTTTAAATGATCAATGATTTTCTTTTAAAAAAATAATGTTATTTTTGCTCATTATGAATACTCACCTCTTTTCTGCCCTTACATGCTGACACAAGGCTGCATTACAGGTAAAAAAAGAATCAGTCAACTGAAAATTAAGGGGAAGTATGTCTCATGTAGTTACTTAGATTTTTCAAAAATTGAAGTTGATCAATTGGAAAAAACAGTGATGCTTTGAACATTCATGTGTAGATATGTGCATGCATTTTGGATTTCTGATGGATTTATACCTAGGAGTATAACTGCTGAGTTAGAAGTTGTATTAGCTTTAATAGATTGTTTAGCATAAGTTGATAATGCTACATTGTTTTTCAAAATGCTATACTATCTTGGCAGACAGCACTGTAGGAGAGTTCCTATTTGCCATCTTATTATATTATGAGACTTTTAGATTTTTGCCAATTTGATCAGTAGATATTGACATCTTCTTATAGTTTTAACTTCTTTAGTGACTAATGAGCTTAAGCATCTTATATTGTATCTGTCGGTCTTTTGCGTATCTTGTAAAAATGTCTATTAAATAATTCTTTCATTTTTCCACCAGGTGACTAATGTTTGATCATGACTAATGTTTGATCAAATTCTTAATGTATTTTAGGCATATGTGTGTTTAATTTTCATATAGCTTATTTTATCAGCCTTAATTGTTGATGCTTTTTGTGCCTTGTTCAATAAATCCTTCCCAATTCAAGATTATGAAGAGACATCTCTTGTATTATAGATTTGCTTTTTAGATCTTTTTTTTTTTTTTGAGACAGAGTCTTGCCGTGTTGCCCAGGCTGGAGTGCAGTGACTTGATCTCAGCTTACTGCAACCTGCGCCTCCTGGGTTTAAGTGATTCTCCTGCCTCAGCCTCCCAAGTAGCTGGGATTACAGGAGCTCACCACCACACCCAGCTAATTTTTGTATTTTTAGTAGAGACGGGGTTTTGCCATGTTGGTCAGGCTGGTCTTGAACTCTTGACTTCAGGTGATCCGCACACCTTAGCCTCCCAAAGTGCTGGGATTACAGGTGTGAGCTACCGCACCCAGTCGCTTTTTAGATCTTTAATTGGGTTTTTGTGTGTGGTATGAGGTAGAGATCTAATTTCCTTTAATCCTCCCATTGGTAGCCAGTTGATCCAGGCTAATTATTAAAAAGTTTGCTCTTTCCCAAATGCTCTGTAGTATATCCTGTGTTATAAATCACATTTCTATATATGTGAGGTTCATTTCAGGCTCTCTATTCTGTTTCACTGTCTTTTTGTCTCAAGCATTAATACTATGCTGTCTTTAAGTATTTTTGGCTGTATAATGACTTCTTTAATGACTAATGAGTGTCTTATATTTATTGGTCATTTGGGTATCTTACTTGTGAACTATTAGTCTTTATCTCATTTTCCCATCAGGTTGCCTAATGGTTGGTAACATTCTTGAAAAAATTTTTAAATTTCATTTTCATTTTTAATTTTTGTGAGTACGTAGTAGGTGTTATATATTTATGGAGTACATGAAATATTTTGATACAGGCATGCAATGTAGAATAATCACATCATGGAAAAGGGGGTATCCATCCCCTCAAGCATTTATTTTTTGTGTTACATTCTATTATAGTCTTTTATTTTTAAATGTACAATTATTTTGACTATTGTCACCCTGCTCTGCTATCAAATACTAGGTCTTAATCTATTTTTTTTCATATCCATTAACCACTCCCACTTGCCCCCACCCCCAGTTCCCACTACCCCTCCCAGCCTCTGGTAACCATCTTTCTACTCTCTAGCTCCCTGAGTCCAGTTGTTTTGTTTTTTTAGATCCCCACAAATAAGTGAGAACATGAATATTTGTCATTCTGTTCCTGGCAAGCAAATTATTGATCTCTCATAGTAAAGCTTCCTCCCTTCTCTCCTTTAATCTTCTATGAATCATAATTGATATCTTTATTTTATTATATCTTCTAACCTGAGTGCTTGGTATATTCTCCATTCATTTAAGTTTTCTTTAATGGCTTTCATAAAATTTTATGATTTTTTTTGTGTATCTTTTGTTATATTTATTCCTAGACACTTGTATTCTAAATGTTATCTTTTTTTTTTTTTTTTTTAATTAAGACGGAGTTTCACTCTTGTTACCCAGGCTGGAGTGCAATGGTGTGATCTTGGCTCACCGCAACCTCCGCCTCCTGGCTTCAGGCAATTCTCCTGTCTCAGCCTCCTAAGTAGCTGGGATTACAGGCATGCGCCACCATGCCCAGCTAACTTTTTGTATTTTTAGTAGAGATAGGGTTTCACCATGTTGACCAGGATGGTCTCAATCTCTTGACCTCGTGATCCACCCGCCTCGGCCTCCCGAAGTGCTGGGATTACAGGCTTGAGCCACTGCGCCCGGCATCTAAATGTTATCTTTAAATTTATTTATTTTACCACTATTTCTGTGTACGATAAAATTGATTTTGTAATCAGTAATTTCTTTCTTTTTTTTTTTTTGTTTGTTTTTGAGACGAGTCTTGCTCTGTCACTCAGGCCGGAGTGCAGTGGCATGATCCCGGCTCATTGCAACCTCCGCCTCCCAGGTTCAAGCGATTCTCCTGCCTCAGCTTCCCGAGTAGCTGGGATTACAGGTGCATGCCACTATGCCTGACTAATTTTTGTATTTTTAGTAGAGATGGGGTTTCACCATGTTGGTCAGGCTGGCCCCAAACTCCTGTCCTTGTGATTTGCCCACATCGGCCTCCCAAAGTGCTGGGATTACAGGTGTAAGCCACCATGCCCAGCCTATAACCAGTAATTTCTTTTAATATTGATTTATCTCTAGATTCTTTTGGAGGTTCTTTGTATAAAGTCTTATCACCTACTAGTAATGATAGTTTTTTCTTCCTTTCCAATCTTGTACTTTTTTTGTTGTTGTTTTGCTAACTAGGAGTTTAATCGTGATCTTGAATGAAAGTGGTAATAATGGTTTTTCTTGTCTTGTTTGCTATTTTAAAGGGAAAGCTTCTATTAGAGTCCCCTTTGACAAACCTCGATTTTGCATTCTGTCCCTGGACGTCACACCAAAGCTCGAGTTCTCCTGACAGGCAAATGCCCTTGCTTTTCTTACCTCTTTGAATTCCAGTTGTCACTCCAATCTCTTGCCTTTGAGTATTCCTTCCTAATTTTTCGGGTCATCAGTGTATTTAAGGAAATTCTAACCCTATGTCTTTCATCCAGCATATTTCGTTACTAAAATTATGAAATCGATCACATTTTAAGTGCTACAACATATTGTTTGATATTAACAGTAATTAAATGAAGATAGTTTATCTCAAGAAATATAGTTGAAAATCAGAGAAACACTTGTAACGCACTGCATATTCAAGGAAGTCTTTTAAGTTGACGAAGGTTATGAAAAAGTGCACGTGTTACAAATGAAACCTTTAGAATGTTAACAAAGTTAAATATATTTCTTGCTTAATTCTGTCTGCATAATTAAATAAATTACAGCTTCAAATAAATTTTAAATGAGGGAATTAAAGTTTCCCTGATGTTTTTTTCCCCATAGAAAAAGTAGGAGGAAATATAGCAATTCGTTTACAGATTCTGCTTCATTTGATTAGTTTGGATTATCATGCCTTTTTGTGGTTAAAGTTTCAAAGGTCTCAGGACAGGTTATTCATTTTTTTTTTCTCTTTTAAAATTCTGAATTTGGTCCATTTTCTGTTCCTGACTTAGTACACGCTTAAATTTTCTGGTCCTTTAGGTATTTGTCACTCTGCCTCCCATCCAGTGCAGGGCCCAGCATCTCAGCAGATGCTGCCAAAATGTTTCCCAAGACAGGAAGTTTACTACTTCCTATTAGGGTAGAATTCTAATTTTAATTATTGATCCAGGAGGAATTTTAAATGTTATGGGACTGGCTTTGAGAGTTTTAAATTTGCTAAAAACAGCAGTCTTAGAGTTTTGTTCAAAATGCTCTGGAAGTTTGTTAGACAATATTTTAAATATTGAAATGTTTAATTTCTAAACTTCATGAATCTTTGGAAGAAACTGAAAGTTTAAATTGCATTCAAGTGAAGATTGTTAGAATGCTAGAAGGCTGTGAATGATTTTATAGTTCTCATAAAAAAAGTGAGTTCAACATGCCAACTTCAAACTGTAGATATGATCCTTTTCCTTTGAAAACTAAATTTAGGAAAAAAAATGCCATAGACACTGTCACATTGAAGAACTACCATGTACCTGGGCATAGTGGCTCACGCCTGTAATCCCAGCACTTTGGGAGGCAGGTGGATCACTTGAGGTCAGGAGTTCGAGACTAGCCTGGCTAACATGATGAAACCCTGTCTCTACTAAGAGTACAAAAATTAGCTGGATGTGGTGGCACATGTCTATAGTCCCAGCTAGTCAGGAGGCTGAGGCAGGAGAATTGCTTGATCACTTGAACCAGGAGATGGAAGTTGCAGTGAGCCGAGATTGTGCCATTGCACTCCAGCCTGGGCAACAGAGTAAGACTCTGTCTCAAAAAAAAAAAAAAAAAAAAAAGGAACTACCATGGTAGTCATATATTTAGAAAATAGTGGTAACTTTAAATAATCCCAATTAAATATAACCGTTTGCCTTTAAAAAATTGTTAACACATAGCACCATAAAATACTGTGATAGACTGGGTGTGGTGGCTCATGCCTTTAATCCCAGCACTTTGGGGAGGCTGACGCAGATGGACCACCTGAGGTCGGGAATTCAAGACAAGCTTGGTGAACATGGTGAAACCCTGTCTCTACAAAAATACAAAAATTAACTGGGCATGATTGTGCATACCTATAATCACAGCTACTTGGGAGACTGAGACTGGAGAATTGCTTGAGGGAGAGATTTCAGGAGTCAGAGATTGCAGTGAGCTGAGATCACTTCATTGTGTTCCAGCCTGGGTGAGAGAGCAAACTCTGTCTCAAAAAAAAAAAAAAAAAAAAAAAAGAATTTTAAACATAATACCCTGTGTAATATTTAGTTGATTTAGTTGTTTTCCCTTGTTTATGTGTATGCATATTATTTTGTGCTTTTAATCACAATGTATATACAGTTTATATTGATTTATTTTCTGTTTTGTGCTATATTCTATATAATTTGTTCTTGGATCGTCACAATAAGTATTGTATAAAATAGTCCACTAAAGTCAAATACTTTAGCGTGTTGACACATTTATTTATTATTGATGATCCCCCTTAATTTTTCTTATTAATATTGTTGTTATAATGGTCTTAACCCTTTTCTTCCTTTTGAATTCTTTCCCTAGGATCCATTTCTTGTCTAGGAAACTTAGTCAAGTCATATGAACTTCTTTATGTGTTATTTTGTTTAGGATTTCTCCAGTGATGATTCTAAGTTAGAATATAATGTAGATGCTGCAAATGGCATAGTTATGGAAGGATATCTTTTCAAACGAGCCAGCAATGCCTTCAAAACTTGGAACAGGTAATATATTTCAAATACTAGTCTTGGTCTTTATGTAGTTTTGATTTTCTGACTTTCTCAGTGATTTGACAACTCTCTCTTTCATAATTCTTTTACTTCTGTAAATTCCACAGAAACTTTGCTGAACCTAGTCTATTGAAGATAGATGCCCTTTAGAAGCAGGTGAAGAATAAAAACATTAATTCTAAATTTTAAAAATAAGCAAGGATTAAACAAGGAAGCAAGGAGAATTTTTATAAATCTTGGTCTATAGTGGCTAGCTCATTATAGTAAACAAATTTGGAATATGGTCTGCCTCTTATATTTGTCCTAAAATAGATTTGAGTGCAGATTATCAATATGATTGATGAATAGAACAAGTGAGCTTTTTTTTTCCTCTATATGTTTATGTATATTTTTACTTAGGGTTTGCTATTGTATTAGTCCATTTTCACACTGTTATAATAAGGATACTACCTGGAAAGGAGTTTTAATTGACTCAACAGTTCTTTATGGCTGGGGAGGCCTCGGGAAACTTACAATCATGGCAGAAGGTTAGGGGGAAACAGGCACCTTCTTTGCAAGATGGCAGGAGAGAGAGAGTTTGGGGGAAACTGCCACTTTTAAACCATTATATCTTGAGAGAAGTCCCTCACTATCACGAGAACAGCATGGGGGATACCACTCCCATGATCCAATCACCTCCCACCAGTTCCCTCTCTCAACATATGAGGATTACAACTTCAAGATGAGATTTGAGTAGGGATACAGAACCAAACCATTATCATTTCACCCCTGGCCTTTCTCAAATCTCATGTCCTTTTTACATTTCAAAATCAATCATGACTTCCCAGTAGTTTCCCAAAGTCTCATCTCATTCCAGCATTAACTCAAAAGTCCAAGTCCACAGTCTCATCTGAGATAAGGACAGTCCCTTCTGTCTATGAGCCTGCAAAATAAAAAGCAAGTTAGTTATTTCCAAGATACAAGGGAGGAACAGGCATTGGGTAAATATTCCCATTCCAACTGTGAAAAATCAACGAAAACAAAGGCTCCACACAAGTCCGAAGCCCAGCCAGGCAGCCGTTAAATCTTAAGGCTCCAAAATCTCCTTTAACTCCATGTCTCACATTCCATAGCAGGCTGATGCAGGAGGTGGGCTCCCATGACCTTAGGCAACTCCATCTCTGTGGCTCTGCAGGGTATAGTCCCTGTGCTGCTTTTGTGGGCTGGCATTGAGTGCCTACAGTGTTTCTGGGTGCATGATGCAAGCTCTTGATGGGTCTGCCTTCCTGGGATCTGGAGGATGGCGGCTCTCTTCTCAAAGCTCCACTAGGCAGTGCCACAATGGGGACTGTGTGAGGGATATAACCCCACATTCCATTCTGCACTGCCTTAGCAGAGGTTCTCCATGAGGGCTTCTTTCCTGCAGCAAACTTCTGCCTGGACCTTCAAGCATTTCTACACATCCTCTGAAATCTAAGTGGAGATTCCTAAACCTAAATTCTCATCTTCTATGCATGTATAGGCCCAATACAGCATGGAAGCCGTCATGCTTGGGGCTTTCCCCCTTTGAAGCAGTGGCCTGAGCCTTGGCCTCTTTTAGCCATGGCTGGAATTTGAGTGGCTGGGATGCAGGGCACCAGATCAGCAGAGTCCTGGGTCCTGGCCCACCATGCTATTTTTCCCTCCTAGGCATCTGGGCCTGTGATGGGAAGGGCTGCCTCAAACATTTCTTACATGCCCTGGAGACATTTTTCCCATTGTCTTGACTGTAAACATTCAGCTCCTCATTACTTATGTAAATTTTCTGAGGCTGGCTTGAATTTCTTCCCAGAAAATGGATTTTTCTCTTATACCTTATAGTCAGGCTGCAGATTTTCCAGTTATGCTCTGCTTCCCTTTTAAATATAGGTTACAATTTCAAATTTTCTCTTTATGAACACATGTAACTGTACACTTTGAGGAAAAGGCAGGTCACCGCTTGAATGTTTTCTTGCTTAGAAATTTCTTCTGCCAGGTACTCTGAGTCACCTCTCTCAAGTTTAAGGTTCCACAGATCTCTAGGGCAAGGGCAAAAATGCTGCTAGTCTCTTGCTAAAGTACAGCAAGAGTGATATTTGCTCCAGTTACCAATAAGTTCTTCCTCTTCATATGAGACCACCTCAGCCTGGATGTCATTGTCCATAAAAGTATCAGCACTTTGGTCAAAACCATTCAACAGCCGGGCGCGGTGGCTCAAGCCTGTAATCCCAGCACTTTGGGAGGCTGAGGCAGGTGGATCACGAGGTCAAGAGATCGAGACCATCCTGGTCAACATGGTGAAACCCCGTCTCTACTAAAAATACAAAAAATTGGCTGGGCATGGTGGCGCGTGCCTGTAATCCCAGCTACTCAGGAGGCTGAGGCAGGAGAATTGCTTGAACCCAGGAGGCGGAGGTTGCGGTGAGCCGAGGTCGCACCATTGCACTCCAGCCTGGGTAACAAAAGCGAAACTCCGTCTCAAAAAAAAAAAAAAAAAAACAAGAAAAACCAAAAAAAAAAACCATTCAACAACACTCTTGGAAGTTCCAGACTTCCCCTTGTCTTTCTGTCTTCTGAGCCCTCCAACCTCTGCCTGTTACTTATTTCCAAAGTGGCTTCCACATTTTCAGATGGTCTTTGTAGCAGTACCCCGGTCTGTTGGTACCAGTTCTGTGTATTAGTCCATGTTCAGACTGCTATAAAGATACTACCTGAGACTGAGTAATTTATAAAGAAAGGAATTTTAATTGATCCCAGTCTTCCATGGTTGGGGAAGCCTCAGGAAACTTAGAATTACAGCAGAAGGGGAAGCAGGCACCTTCCTCATAAGGTGGTAGGAGAGAACTCAGGGGAAACTGCCACTTTTAAACTATCAGATCTCCTGAGAACGCCTTCACTGTCACAGGAACAGCATGGGAAAAACTGCCTGCATGATCTAGTCACCTCCCACCATATCCCTTCCGTGATATGTGGGGGTTCAAGGTGAAACTTGGGTAGTGGCACAGAGCCAGTCCATATCACTTAGGAATCTTTTTTTTTCCTGCCCTTTGTGAACGAAATGCTTATGAATTTTAGGTGACACTGATCTTTTGATTTTTGCAGTAACTTGAACAAAATAGGAGTTTTAGGAAATGGAAATTTTTTCATATATGAAGTTGTGGCAGCTGATGCTCCTTCATTATAAACTTGATTGCTATCAAAAACATTGTAGGTGTTGCTTAACAAATTTTTATAAAATATAAATCTATTAAATATCTGTTAAAAGAATGGATAAAGTATTTCATTGTATTTTCTCATATAGTACTGTACTAAAATGAAATAACTTAAGACATTAAAGTTTCAACCAAAAGATTGGTTGTCCCAGGATCATTCTTCTGCATATCAGTGATTTATCTTTTATTCAAGGATGCCTCTATTTTTGCCAAAAATAAAAAAGTAGTCAAAAAAATTCTGTAATAATTAAGAGTAGTAGTTGGATTCTGGATTCTGGTTGATTTTATTGGTTATAATGTTAATATTTTATTACCCAAACTTATTACTATGAACTTAATGATAAGGTGGTTTTTATTTTAAAAATGGACATTAGTAAAGTAAATATAATTTCCTGGTAAGTTTAACTTTGTATAGATTTTTGATAAATGGAAAAATTTAATATTTTATTGAAATGCATTTCGAGTGTAATTATTTTTATGTCTTGGTGTCAAGGTTACATTGAAAAAACATTCACTGGCTGTGCATGGTGGCTCACGCCTGTAATCCCAGCACTTTGGGAAGCCGAGGCAGGTGAATCACCTTAGGTCAGGAGTTTGAGACCAGCCTAGCCAACACGGTGAAACCCTATCTCTACTAAAAATACAAAAATTAGCCTGATGTGATGGTGTGTGCCTGTAATCCCAGCTACTCGGGAGGCTGAGGCAGGAGAATCACTTGAATCCAGGAGGCTACAGTGACCTCAGATTGCACCACTGCACTCCAGCCTGGGTGACAGAGTGAGATTGTCTCAAAAAAAAAGAAAAGAAAAGAAAAGAGAAAACATTCACTGACATTTCTGAATATCAGTGATTCATTGAGCATTTTCTGAGCATTTGATATGCCAGATGTTTACATGGTACATGGTTTGTTTTATTCAAAATAAATTTTTCTAAACCTGAGAGCAAATATAAAATGGAAAGAATAATGATTATATTTGTTGTTAAACCTGAGTATAGAGAGCTTTAAAAATAATACATGGGTTGGGTGTGGTGGTTCATGCCTGTAATCCCAGCACTTTGGGAGGCTAATGCAGATGGATCACTTGAGGCCGGGAATATGAGACTAGCCTGGCCAACACAATGAAACCCTGTCTCTACTAAAAGAAAAAATTAGCTGGGCATGCTGGCTCATGCCTGTAATCCCAGGTGCTTGGGAGGGTGAGGAAGGAGAATTGCTTGAACCTAGGAGGCAGAGGTTGTAGTGAGCCAAGATTGTGCCATTGCATTTCCAGCCTGGACAACAGAGTGAGGCTCTGTCTCAAATAAATAAATAAATAATAAGAATAGTACATGAATATAGGAGGACCAGCTCAAGTGGTGCAGTTAGAAATAGTGTTTCTAGCTTTTTTTTTTCTTTTTTTTCTATTTTTATTCAGTTTCCTTACCGCCTTCTTTCTGGCTATTTTTAAGTGAAAATTAAAAATTACAATTACATTTTCTAAGGTCAAGAAAGTAGACAGTAGTTTTTTAAGCCTTTCCTGGTGAATTTCTGTAGCCAGAGTAGAAGTTTGGAAAAAAAAATAGCTTGACTGGTGAATGTTTATAATAAAGATTACTCAATCAGTATGGTTTCATGATAGTGTCAGAATTGAATTTTAAACTTCAGATTTTAAAACAACCTAAAGTTTAACAAAGTGAAAATACAATAAATCCATATAAACATATCATTATGTTAAGAAGACAAGAAATGAACTTCCATGGACTACTCCAATGAGAAATGATCTCAGACTTCAAAATGAAGCACAGTAAGTGTTAGTGGAATATTGCACTGCTATTTAGTACAATAGAAGGAAGTTAATTTTGATTTATACATGAACATTTCATTATTATTTGTTTTCTGAATTATATTGGCATAGATATTAAAATGCAGCTAAAATCAAGAAATAATGGTTAACTTCCATTGTAGACATTACCTACTACTTACCAAGGGAAATATACAATGCCTTTGGAAATTAGGCTGCTTTTAAAGGAGATGACATCTACATGTAGTGAAATGGCAGTTATTGATTAGAATCACAGACTGTAGAACACCCTTATTTTCAGTAAAGAAATGGAGCTTCAGAGAGAGAAAGGGGACACAGCTGGTTTGTGAACAAATTAAGATACAAAACCGGAAACTTGGAACTCTTGGGCTCGAGCAATCCTATGTATCCTATGACATTTTTCTTAGTTTTTACGAAAATTGCAAACAATCTTTATTTTGATAGAACAAAATACAGTATAACTTCAACTATGAAAAAATACTTCGCTTTAAAAGAACTTCCTGAAACACATTATTGGGAAAAGTTATGGATAGCAAATTAATTTCATTTTCACATGCTACTGAAGAACATTCTGCTGAAAACAGTAGTAAAATTCTGACTTGTAAAAGAATATAGCATATACGGCTGGTCATGGTGGCTCATGCCTCTAATCCCAGCAGTTTGGGAAGTGAAGGCAGGTAGATTTCTTGAGCCCAGGAATTTGAGACCAGCCTGGGTCACATGGTGAAACCCCATCTCTACAATAAAAAAAAAACACATGCACAAATGCACGCACGCGCACTCGGACCAGGTGTGGCGCTGTGGTGCCTGTAGCCCCATCTACTCAGGTGGCTGAGGCAGGAAGATGGTTTGAGCACAAGAGATTGAGGCTGCAGTGAGCCTCTGCATTGTGCTACTGCACTCCAGCCTGGGTGACGGAAACCCTGCCTCAATCAGTCAATCAATAACAAAAGTCCAAACCCAGCGACTAAAGTCTTAAAATTTTTATTTTCTAGATTATAGGTAAGGAGCTAGACAGAAAGGAGAAGAAAGAAGAGTAATATTTTAAATGTTATTTAGGATTCTCTTCTGCTTTTTAATATTAAAAATTTGGAATTTATTTAAATTTCTTAAAGTATCTCAAAATCGAATTCTCTGTCCAGCTTAATTTATTTTACTTGACTTTGAGTAAAAGACTGTATTTATGATATTGGTCCCTTAATTTAAAAAATTCAGGAATCCAGTGACTCAAATATGAAGATTTTTCTGCCTGCTGTTTAAGTATTTTTTTTGGATTGTTTATGGATTAGTTTTAGGGCATCTTTTTTGTTTTAGTCACCATAGGGTACCAATCATATACAAACACATTTGCCATTACCTATACTTCTATGGAATTGTAGCATGCAGTATTTTCAAAATCAACTATTTAAAAACACCTCTGGCTGGGCATGGTGGCTCATGCCTGTAATCACCAGCAGTTTGGGAGGCTGAGGTGGGCAGATCACCTGAGGTCAGGAGTTCAAGGCCAGCCTGGCCAACATGGTGAGGCCCCCCGTCTCTACTAAAAAGGCAAAAATCAGCTGGACATGGTGGCACACTTCTATATTCCCAGCTACTTGGGAAGCTAAGGCAGGAGAATCACTCAAACCCAGGGAGGCAAAGGATGTAGCGAGCCGAGATTGTGCCACTGCACTCCAGCCTAGACAAGCGAGACTTCATCTCAAAAAAAAAAAAAAAAAAAGTCTTCTTTCTCCCATAAATATATACACTATTAAAAATAAAATAAAAATTAAAATTAAAAAAATACTTTCTTACTGCAGGGAAATATGTGACCAGGAATTTCCAGATAGTTTTAAAACTTCACTTTGTGCTTTATAAATCACAAGTATATTTCAGATCATTTCCAAATCTGAAATTTAACTGAATAGATAATAGTTTGTATGATGTGACTGAAACAGTGTAAGAAGTAAAAAGTTTTACATCTTATGTGGACTGTTGAGCTTATTTCTTATTGGCTTTAGATTTCTAGTTTGTAGTATCTCACAATTTTATACATCTAAAAATATATTTGTCTGAAGATACATGTGAGGTTACCACGGTAATTTTTCTTTGTTAGGTCATTTTCTCAGTGTGGCAGCTTCCTTTCAGGCTCAAATTCGTGGATTACTAGAACTTACATTTCTCTTTTGTTTTTTATGATAAATTCAGAAAAGATGAATGGAGAAGGAAAATAAATAAATATTAATAATTTAGTGAAAACTTTGAAAAACAATCTGAATAATTACTTGCTCTGCTCAGTCTTTGTTGAAACAGATAATACAGCTAAAAGCATGGAATTTACTACTTAATATTTTAAAGCAAAATGATCTGTATGCTGCTGGTGTAGATGTAAATGTTTTATTTTTACTGGCGTTTTGTTTTGTTAGAAATATATACATAGATTAAAGATTAATGCTAAGTATGTGTGGCCTTTAAGTCACTTTAAGTCAGTTAGAATGGCAATCATTAACTCAGGAGACAACAGATGCTGCAGTGTAAAGGAACACCTTTACACTGTTGGTGGGAGTGTAAATTAGCTCAACCATTGTTGAACACAGTGTGGTGATTCCTCAAGGATCTAGAAATAGAAATTCCATTTGACCCAGCAATCCCATTACTAGGTATATACCCAAAGGATTATAAATCATTCTGCTATAAAGACACATGCACATGTATGTTCATTGCAGCACTGTTTACAACAGCAAAGACCTAGAACCAACCCAAATACCCATCAGTGATAGACTGGACAAAGAAAATGTGGTACATATACACTGTGAAATACTACACAGCCTTAAAAAGGATGAGTTCATGTTCTTTGTAGGGACATGGTTGAACCTGGAAACCGTCATTCTAAGCAAACTGACACAACAGAAAACCAAATACCGCATGTTCTTGCTCATAGGTGGGTGTTGAACAGTGAGAACACATGAGCACAGGAAGGGGAGCATCACACACTGGGGTCTGTTGGGCGGGGGGCTAAGGGAGGGATAGCAGGGGGATGGGGAGATTGGGGAGGGATAACATGAGGAGAAATACCAGATATAGGTGATGGGGGGATGGAGGCAGCAAACCATGTATGCACCTATGCAGCAGTCCTAAATGATCTACACATACACCCCAGAACCTAAAGTACAATAAAAAGAAAAAAAATTTTTTTTTTTAATGGGGATGGGCAATTGGGAGAAACATTTATTTGGCTAACATTTTATAATCTTTGACATCCTCAATTTATGAAAACTTTTCATTTGTCTCGGGTTTATATAGCTAATTCCTTCAGTGAGTGTTTTCCTTAATTTTTAGGAGCACCTTATTAAGTAAGATAAGGTGAAATACTATCTGTATTTTATAGTCATGACTGTTGAGGCAGAAAATAATAGTAGAGATATGCCCAAGTACGCTAAGTCCTACCAGAACTTTCTATAACATAATATTTGAAGAACTTTTTGAATATTCCTGAAATTTTCAGATTCTTGAGTTGGAATTAATTATAAAAATGCATATGTCTATAAAAAGTAAATGAAATGCAATAGATACTTTTATTTTGTTAGGTTCTGAGCTTAAGCTTGTTCCTTAATTCTTGCTTTATTTTCGTATCATGCTAGTCCTTTGCTTATTTTGCACATTTTTCGTTTTCATTCTTTTACCACCTTTCCCTTATGTTTTAATCCTGCCCCGTTTTTTCACATGACAGGAAAAAGCCCGATCATATCAGGTACCAAATGGCTTCCATCCCTTTACCCTCATCTTACTTCAGTTTCCTTTTTGGCACGAGAAAGCTCATAATTAACTTGCATTTCAGTTGGATTACTTGCAATGGATAAAAAGTCTCTTTATGTTTTAACTTGGAAAGAAAATATAAACGTTTTATTTGAAAAACGGAATTACACCTTTTAATTGCACATCTATCTCAATTTGTTTTAATCTGTAAAGAAATACTTGATTTGCTTATAATTAGCCAAAGAAGATAGAAATTGAATAATATCCTTTTTATATGTCTTATTTTTTAAAAAAGGGAAGGGCTGTACATGGTGACTCACACCTGTAATCCCAGCATTTTGGGAGGTCGAGGTTGGAGAATCACTTGAGCCTAGGAGTTGGAGACCAGTCTTGGCAACATAGCAAGACCCTGTCTCTGCCTAGATAGATAGATAGATAGATAGAGAGAGAGAGAGATAGAGAGATAGATAGGTGATAGATAGGTGATAGATAGATAAATTAGATAAGTAGATAGAAAGAAATTAGCTGGATGTGGTGGCATGCCTCTGTAGCCCCAGCCACTCCAGAGTCTGAGGTGGGAGGATTACTTGAGCTCAGGATTTCTAGACTGCACTGAGCTATGATTGCAACATGACACGCCAGGCTAAGTGACAGAGCAAGGCCCTGTCTCTAAAAAAATTACATGTATATATAAACAAATAAACATATAGAGAGAAATAAGCTAGTAAACCTTTTAAAAATTGGAGCAGTAACTAGGATTAGTCCTTTGAGTAAAACCATGTTAATTTTGTTGAAAGAATACATTGTCAGTTCCTTTTTTTTTTTTTTTTTTTGCCATTTATTTTCTTTGTATAAAAATAAATTGAAGTAAAGTAGGGTACATGTTCAGGCTTTTAATTTTTATCAGTTGTTTACCTGTTTGGCACTTACATGAATGTGTAAATAATCCCATCATCTGTATACTTTTAGTTATAAAGCTTCTACAGATTTAGAAGTTTGCTTTTACTTATGTTCTTGATTTCAAAAGTAGTTTTGGGACTAGTGATCAAACATAGTAAAAGATAACTTGATTATTTGTTTATGATGTATTTTTTCTTTTCCTGCCCTAATTTTTGTCATTCAGATGCTCTCATTGTTATATTAAATAATATTTACAACATAAATATATTTTAAAAGTATATTTAGAATTTAATAAAATATATTATTTCAGTTTGAGATACAAAGTGGTACCTTATTTTTCTTAATGAAGCAAGAAATTTTTCTATTTTAAAAGCTGTCTTGTATTTTGGCTTTGTGATTAGTTTCTGAATCCAAAGTTTGTTTTCTTGGGTCTAGTTCCCTTTTTTTTTTTTTAACTTTCAAATTGTAGGTACCAAGTACTTAAATTATTAAGTATTTTTTCTCTATTTCACAGTCCATGAGTTGTTTTTAAGTCTTTTTCTTTTCTTAGAAATGTTAATAACAACTAGGGCCAGGCGTGGTAGCTCACGCTTGTAGTCCCAGCACTTTGGGAGGCCAAGGCAGGTGGATTGCTTGAGACCAGGAGTTAGAGACCAGCCTGGCCAACATGGTGAAACCTCTTCTCTACTAAAAATACAAAAATTAGCAGGGTGTGATGGCGTATATCTTTAATCCCAGCTACTCAGGAGGCTAAGGTACAAGAATCACTTGAACCCGGGAGGCGGAAGTTGCAGTGAGCCGAGATCGCAGTACTGCACTCCAGCCTGAGCAACAGTGAGACTCTACCTCAAAAACAACAACAACAACAAGGAAATGTTAATAACTAGGATTATTCTATAGAAAGAGTTAAAAATTATATTTTACTTACCTGATTAAAGTTTTGGTCAATGTAGGTTATTAGTTTTTAAAATTTATAGTAGCAAGGAAGGAATGATAGCATCATAAGACACACAAATTATTCAGAAAATGTTTTCTATCTAGGATGTATGACATTTATCCTTAAGAGATGTAAAATTAAGAGTTTATATTTTCTTTCCTGAGTTTACAAAACTGATGGTATGAAAATGTCCTTCAGAAGCAGGTAGATGGCCCAGGAACTGCGTTTCAAAAATACATAAAGATCTTTAGAGTTAATCGGGTAGACCTCTGACAAAAACGTAAGTTTTAATATAGCATTTTGATATGATTTTTAGGAGATATTGTCCTAAGATACAACAGATCAAGAGAAACTAATTTTTGAAGACCTCAGAAGCATGGAAAGTTGACATAAGTGTGTTTTTTTGTTGTTCAGTAAAACTCTGTAGCTTTCATCAAATTATAGAATATTACTATGATATAAAACAAATGAATTTTTATTACTACAGTTCATCCTACTTCAAATGATTTCTTCATAAACTAATCAGTATCAGAGATTGTTTCCATTGCATGTCATCCCATGTGGCAGGGGTGCACCATTCTGTTTGTTTATAGGTATTCCCTTAACATTTCTAACTGATTATCTGTCCCAAAGTAAACCCAGAAGTTCTTCCTTTTCTAGCTTACCTCTCGATTTGCATTTAGAGGCAACCCACCTCATTTTATCTAGATGCTTATTTAACAAATCTTTTTTTTAATGATAAAGTTGATTCCTCTTTCAGTGATAAGAAAACCTAACAGTCTATCTAGTAAATGACTTTAAAATGGAAAAGCATCTTCTAGTCATGTTATGAGAACAACTTTGGATAATTAACTTTTAAAAATAGAAATTCTAAATGTCTAAGTACAATTTCTAATGTTTTGTATTAGTATCAATGAAAAGGTAGAATCTCTATCTGCTAATCCATTAATAACTAATTATGATAGAAATCATCTCACATGAAACTAATTTTAAAATAATGATTCAAATGTTGTTTTACCTTTCATGCTTGATAAGAAGTTTGGCTTTCTTTTCTGAATGGCTTTTGGCTGTGAATTTTTTTATGCCTTTAGGTCTTTTACTGTTTTAATAAATTAGAATTAGTAAATATATTATATATAGGTTAGATTTTTTCTTCTAAAGATTGTAAGTAAATTGTTTGCCTAATAATTTATAGTAGTGAGCAGAACCATATAAATAGTTGAGTAAATCATTTGTAGTAATAACTTTGATTATTTTGCTTAGAAGTAATTTGTATGAAAATAAGGCCAAGCTAATTTGTGATTATCTCTTGTTAGATGTCAGTTCTAACATGATTAGTTTTCTGTTTTGCTTATCCAATCAAGCTCTTACTGAATTTTCTTCTGAAAGGTTGAAAATAAAGCACGATTTATTTCAGTGTTTTACTGTATACAAGTGGATTTTTTTTTCTTTCTGGTTTTTTTTTTTTTTTTAAGACGGACTCTTGCTCTGTCACCCAGGCTGTGGTGCAATGCTGTTGCCCAGGCTGGAGTGCAAGGATGTGACCTTGGCTCACTGCAACTTTTGCTTCCTGGGTTCAAGCAAATCTCTTGCCCCAGCCTCCCAAGTAACTGGGATTACTGGTTCCTGCCACCATGCCTGGCTAATTTTTGTATTTTTTTAGTAGAGACGGGGTTTCACCATGTTGGTCAAGCTGGTCTCGAACTCCTGACCTCAGGTGATCCACCCATCTCAGCCTCCCAAAGTGCTGGGATTTCAGGTGCAAGCCATCATGCCCAGCCATGAGTAGCTGCTTGTATTCACAATATACATTTATGCCAGCTCTATAAGAAAAGAAATTATTTTGGGGGAAAGAGTTCAGTTATTTTTGAGGAACCTCAAAAATTATAAATTCATACTTTAAGACAATTATTATCTGGTGATAGCTAAAGGATAACAGCTTTTGTTAGGATGTAAATTTATGACTTGAAATTAAAATGTAGTACTTTCTTTTTCCTAACTTGTTTTAAAAACATTTGTTCTTTACTTTCAGTAGTTATCCCATATTAGAATCAGTTTCTATAAAGCAAAGCAATACAGTACACTTCTTAAAACATATTTACTACCATGTGATTTCCAGTACTTTTTCAAATACTCATTTCTAACAACAATGGAAATAAGTTATGTTTATAAAAACTTAATCTGTTTTGTGTTTCTTTAGGCGCTGGTTTTCAATACAGAATAATCAGTTGGTTTACCAGAAAAAATTTAAGGTAGGTGTTAAGTAATAAGTGAAAACTCAGTGAGTTACCAATTTCATTTATTTATATCTTTGTTTTGGCAGGCATTGAAGTTGATAAATAATGTGTGTAAAATTAATGTAATTTTTATGTTTGAGCAGGTATAAGAGGACTCTAGGGTGGAAAATAGCAACATTTAATTCTTAAAAGCAAAGTGATTTTGAATTCTGAGTTCTTAATTCCTAGGTTTGAAATGGATTTTTCTGGGTCACAGGATTTTAAAAAAATGTTTTGGTAGTTTTTAAATGTTATATATTAGTTGTACATACTTTTGTGATACATGTGCTATTTTGATACTTGTATACAATGTGTAATGATCAAATCAGGGTAATTGGGGTATCCATCACCCCAAACATTTTTCTTTGTCTTGGGATCATTACAAATCTCCTCTCCTAGCTATTTTGAAATATACAACATACTTTTATTTCTTTATATGTATCTTTCTCTAGTTCATGACAGAAATAACACTGCCATTCCAAAGCACTATTCTGAAGATGAAAGAGAGGGTGCCTTTTAAATAGTATCACAGTAGGGCCAAAGGTGATAGGACAGAATGGTTAAAAATGACATTAATTAAAATGTAAGCTGAGAGTAATTTAAATAGAACCCCTTGAATATGTTAATATTGTTTTATGTGTTTTCCTCAATCTTATTTTAAAGATGAGAAAGTTTTATATATTGGAAAAGCATAGTGGGATTAGTTCTGAGTTGAGAATATTAAAAATAACTAGAAACTAAAGAATCAATCATTAGTTAATTGATGACTTGCTTTTCACCTAGTTACTTTTTATGAATAATATTCTGTAAACTGCAAATTTTAAAATATCTACTCTTGAGGTGACACAATATGAAATTTTACTTGCTGGTTCTGTGGTAGCAGGTTTGTATGACAGAGCCCTTTAGTGTAGCTAATTAGTTCATGGTTTCTTCTACTCTGATAAACTGGGTTTGGATTTATATTTTTATTAAATAGTAGAAAGTGATAAACTCTTTCTGATTCTCTTAGGTGTTTTAAGAAGTTACAGCTTTCTTAATAAAATACTTAAAACTTTACTGAATAAAAGCTTCTCTTTTGGAGGAAAGTAGCTTTTATTATATGTGAGTGGGGACTAGGACAGTAACGGATATGAAAGAAGATGGCAGGAAATCCACAGAACGTTAACATTTATTGAGCATTTACTAAGTATCAAGTGTTGGACCAAGCTCTTTATATATAAACAATTTCATTTAATCTTTATATAATTTATGAGGTAGATACAATTATTAACAGAACAAAGTTACCTTTATTTTTATATCTATATTGAAAACCCATCTGTATCTAAAATAAAATATAAATCTTGAAAATTAGACCAGTTATGCCAAATTATATTTTTAAGTATCTTATTATTGGTAATAATAAAACTTAGGTGGAAAAATATGGAAATTTTGTTTCCTTATTGTAGGATAATCCTACTGTAGTAGTTGAGGATCTCAGGCTCTGCACAGTGAAACATTGTGAAGACATAGAACGACGATTCTGCTTTGAGGTGGTCTCTCCAACAAAGTAAGTGGTTCTAAAGAATCTGTGATTTGCTTCTGTATTTTTATAGTTTGTCTTAAAGAACTTTACAGAGTAGAGAAATCTGCATTTTTCTGTAATTATTTATGTTAAAAAAGAAGAAAAGTTTTAACCGTAAATTTTAATAATTACTGGTTACAGATATTATAGTCAGATATTTATGTAACTTCTATCATTTATCATATTCTTTCAATTCCGTAAAGGTGATTTATGTGCCCCTATGAAAACTTTTTAGCTATTATGATGAATTGAAATCATACGAGTTTCTTTGATAACTATCATTTTACATTTGTACCCAGTCAGGAAGAAAATGAGTATTCGTGTGTTTATATGGTAAATTTAAGAGGTTTTGTTTTGTTTTTTTTTTTTAAATGTTCAGGGATGAGTTACTTGTTTTGAAGAAATAATTTGTTTCACTGACACTTTAATTTCTTTGTGAACATACTTTGCCCTAAAGACACAGGAAATAACACCTTTTTAAAAAAACAAATTATATATTTTTTGCTAGAAAATTGTTAAATAGCAAAGTGGACAAAATATAAAGCTTATAGAATTTTTTCATCATTAACTTACTATCTGAGAAAACAATATGTTATTTCCTTGTAGAAGTTGTATGCTCCAGGCAGATTCTGAAAAGCTGCGCCAGGCATGGATTAAGGCTGTTCAGACCAGTATTGCTACTGCTTATAGAGAGAAGGGTGATGAATCAGAGGTTAGTAGAGGTATTAGCAATACCAAATAATATATTGCCAAACGTTCTTGATTTTAGTTGCAACATTATATGACTATATATAACATCGTTTTTATGGAAGATGATTTTATGTAATTGAAATGAGTTTTATTTTTAAAATCTGGATTTCTCTTTTATTTACCTTGATTTCATGTACCATTTTATTTCAGTATTTGAATCTATGTTTATTTTAATATTTGACTACATAAACCAGATTGGAATGAGGTATTCCCCTGTTAGTGTTTTTCCCCTGAAGTATTGTGCCATTTTAGTTAATTATAAAATAAAATAATCATCACAAAAGGTATTTAAAATTGAATGAATTTAAAAATGAATGGAAACCAAAAAGGAAAGCATAATATTGTCTCTTAAAGGCCACTTAATAGGATAAGCTGAATGTGGAAACTTAGGTCATAGTCTTTCCTCAGTTTCTCAAAGAACCTTCTCAGGAAATATTTTGGGCAAGGAAATGAGTGCGTAAATGAACAAGTCTTGAGAAATGGAACTCACCACTTTTGGGTCATCTGGCAAGATCGTGGCATAGGCTTAGTGATAGATAATTGTCAGGAATATGGTTAGGGGAACTAATTGCTTTCTAAATTGTATTTCAAAACTTATTGTGGCCAACTTCCAGCTTCCAAGTATCAATCAAAGCAGAACTTTTTCAAGCATGGGATTGTGGTGGTTGGGGGCGAGGGACAACTAACTTGATCCAAGCAGAAGGGCATAGAGGAAAGGATGAATTTGATTAGTAGTAGCCAAGTTGATGTGAACTTGTCTGGGTGCAAATGATGGGAACATTGACAAAGGGCATGTTGGCAAAGATAGCCTGCAATATGTCTGTCTCTAGAATCTTACTTCTCCAATCTGGACCAGTTGCTCCCTAAGCCTGCAGCATGGCTATCAGTCTGGGATTTCCTTACAAAATCATTTCTGGAGATTCTTTTATTTCCTGTATCCCATATCTTTCTCCTTCTTGACTTAAGAAAAACTTAAGTACCTTGTCTAGTAGCTTCCTGAAAATGAGACATTTGTGATTCCACGCATGTCTGAAAATGTCTTGATTCTATCCTCATATTTGATTGGTAGTTTGGCTGGATATTTTTAGATTGGAAATAATCTTGAGAATTTTAACAGCATTGTTTGTTTTTTTTTAGCTTCCAGTGTTGATGTTGGAAGTTTTCTTATTAATGATCTTTTGTATTTCTCCTCTCCAGTTACTCAGTATTTTCTGGAATTTCTGGATTGGTATTATGATTTTCTTATTTTTGTTGTTTTGCTCTATTTTCTGGGAAATCTCAGTTAATCTTCCAAGTCTCCTTTTGAATATTTCAGTTCTGCTAGCATATATTTAATTTCCAAGAGTTTCTTTTGTCCACTAAATGTTTATAAATATAGACCTGTTCTTTTTTCATGGAATCAGTGTTAGACCTGTGGTTTTAACCATCATTGCATACTATGATGTCATCACACAGAGAGCTTAAAAAACTCCCACTGTTTAGGTACCACCACAGAACACTTGAATGGAGTTGGGACTCGGGCATCAATATTTTAACAGGCTTCCTAGGTTAGTTCCATAAACAACCAATGTTGAGTGCCATTGTGTTAGAGGCTTCTTTGTCTATCTGATCATGATTATAAGTTAGGCACTAAAAACTTCTTTGGAAGCTTTGAGCACAAAATTAGGACTTTGTTGATTTTGACCTTTGCCTAAGTCTGGACCATTTGTTGAGGAATAACCATCGTCAGGGTCTTTTTGAGTCTTTTCAGCTGGTGTGATTTCCCAGATAAGACTCTTTGTTCTCCCACATGGGTGTGAGGGACTGGCTGGGAGCTAAGTGCTGGGTATCTTAGCATATCATATGTATATGTTTATTTAATCCTCTGGCTTCCACCTTTCAGGTGAAGTCTGTTCAGAGACTGTTGGTTTTACTCCTCCGGAGAATAACTTCCAGTCATTGTATTTATGTGTAGAGAGGGGTCCCCTAGTGGTATGGAGATGTGGAGGGACAGTAGGATTGAATGTCTTGCTTAAACAATCATTCCTCCTATTAATACTTTTGTGAATGGGTTTCGGATTCAGTGCTGTGTTCCTTGAAGTGGCTGACCCAAGTTATGCTGTATTTCTGTACTTAGCTTCCAGCTTCTCTAATTTGGTGCAAAAATATTAGCATATAGAGAAAACCTGGGAATGAACCAACATGATTTCTGTAATATAATACTGACATTCTTTCCTTATATGATAATTACTCAATAGCTAATTCACATTACCAAACATGTTCTGGTAAAACAAATGCTTCTTTCTTAAAATTTTGGAATAATCATAAACTTACAGGGAAGTTCTTTTTTTTTTTTTTTTTTTTTTTTTTTGGAGAGAGAGTCTTGCTTCGTTGCACAGGCTGGAGTGCAGGGGCACAATCTTAGCTCACTGCAACCTCCACCTTCCAGGTTCAAGCTATTCTCCTGCCTCAGCCTCCCCAGTAGCTAGGATTACAGTTGTGTGCTACAGCTAATTTCTGTATTTTTAGTAGAGATGGGGTTTCACCATCTTGGCCACGCTGGTCTCAAACTCCTGACCTCAGGTGATCCACCCACCTTGGCCTCTCAGAGTGCTGGGATCACAGGTGTGAGCCACTGCACCCGGCCCCACAGGGAAATTCTAAATACTGAACAAATAACTGTTTCCCCTGAACCATTTGAGAATAAGTTTCTAATGTGATGTGATGCCCCATCACTGCATCACAACTTTTTTTTTTTTTTTTTTTTTTTTTGAGATAGTTTCTCTGTCTTCCAGGATGGAGTACAGTGATGCAGTCTGAGCTCACTGCAACCTTCATTTTCCGGGTTCAAGTAATTCTCATGCCTCAGCTTCCCTGGTAGCTGGGACAACAGGCGTGTGCTACCACGCCTAGCTAATTTTTGTATTTTTAGTAAGGTGGGGTTTTACTATGTTGGCCAGGCTGGCCTGGAACTCCTGACCTCCAGTGATCCACCCGTGTCTGCCTCCCAAAGTGCTGGAATGATAGGTGTGAGCCACTGCACCTGGCCTGCATCTTTATTTATTTATTTATTTATTTATTTATTTTTCGATAAACAGTGTCTCACTCTGTTGCCCAGGCTGGAATGAAGTGGCACCATCTCAGCTCACTGCAACCTCTGCCTCCCGGTTCAAGCGATTCTTGTGCCTCAGCTTCCAGAGTAGCTGGGATTACAGGTATACACCACCACACCTGGCTAATTTTTTTTATTTTTATTTTTTAGTAGAGCTGGGTTTTCACCATGTTGGCCAGGCTAGTCTTGAACTCCCGACCTCTGATGGTCCACCTGCCTCAGCCTCCCAAAGTGCTGGGATTACAGGCATGAGCCACTGCGCCTGGCCTGTATCATTACTTTAATGAGTACCTCCCACAGCCTAGGATATTCTCCCATATGATCATAGTATAGCCACCAATCAAGAAATGAGCACTGATACATGACTACCATTTAATTCTCAAACATCATTCAAGTTTTAGCCATTGTCCTAGTAATATTCTTTATGGGAAAAAGATCTAGTTTATAAGTATAGATAGTATTTAGTTGTTATGTCTTTTTAATCTCTTTTAGTCGGGGTAGTTCCTCATTCTTACATTGACCTTCTTAACCTTGATAGTTTTGAAAATTACAGACTAGTTGTTTTGCAGAATGTCCCTCAATTTGGCAGGAATATTATATAAATGGTACTGTGTTATTTTCACTTCATCCTCTCAGGGGTCACATGATTTTGACTTGTTCCCAGTGGTGGTGTTAACTTTGATCATTTGATTCAGGTGGTGTTCTAGTGGGTTTCTCTACTGTAGGAGTAATCTTTTAAACTTTGTCGGTAATAAGTATTTTGTTGAGGGGGTGCTTTGGGAGGAACTTTTGGTGGAGAATTGTGTTTAGAAACCAAAGTAAGTTTTTGAGTGTGTATATACATATACATATTTACATCTTTTAAAAAACGTATCTATTTATATTGAAAACCATTAGTGTGCCTGTTGATATCTCCAGGTCTGATAGGATTCATTGTGGTTTTCTCCTTTTCCATATAAATAATTCCTTTCTCTGCATTGAGAAATCTGGCTCCCATTTGTTTTTAACATGTTTACTTATATGATTGATCCCCTCGTATGTAACTGATATTCTGTGTCTGTTGCCAGGGGTGGCCTCTTTTTCTGTCAGACTCTTGACACCTCATACTAGGTGGTGCTCCTACTTTGCTGACTTCCTCTCCCTACTCGGGCTTCTGTTTTTCTTGCTGAGCTGCCTCCCTATACAGACATGCTCCTTACCCTGCTTGGATCCAACAGCCTGCATATGGTTATGCTTCTTTGTCGGCATGTTTCCCATCTAGCTTGCTCCTCTCAAGAATACTGAGTATACACACTTACCTTGCATGGTCCTATCTAATGGCTGTTGAATAGGGTTTTCAGGAAGGGTAAGACAAGTGCTAAATTTTATTTATATTGATTCTGTACTAACATACTGGCTTTTTAAGGTTGAAATGTTTTTATTATTTATTTATTTAGAGATGAAGTCTCACTCCATTGCCCAGGCTGGATTGCTGTGGTGCCATCTGGGCTCACTGCAATCTCCATCTCCCAGGTTCAAGTGATTCTCCTGCCTCAGCCTCCCAAGTAGCTGGGACCACCCACGCCTGGCTAATTTTATTTGCATTTTTAGTAGAGATGCGGTTTCACCATATTGGCCAGGCTGCTCTTGAACTCCTGACCTTGTGATCCACCCGTCTTAGCCTCCCAAAGTACTGAGATTAGAGGCGTGAGCCACTGCACCTGGCCTGAGATGTTTTTAAACCAGAAGACTTTTTATAGACCATATCTGTCGTTGTTTAGGATCTAGGTACCATATCTTTGTATTTGGTCATTATGGCCATGTGGCGGGGTGTGGGGAGACAGAGTCTTGCTCTGTTTCCCAGGCTGGAATGCAGTGATGTGATCATAATTCACTGCAGCCTTGACCTCCTGGGCTCAAGCAATGCTCCCGCCTCAGCGCCCTGAGTATCTGGGATTACAGGTATGTACCACCATCCCTAGCTAGTTTGTATGTATGTATGTATTTACGTATTTATGATGGAGGCTCATTCTGTAACCCAGGCTGGAGTGCAGTGGCATAATCTTGGTTCACGGCAACCTCCGCCTCCCAGGTTTAAGTGATTCTCCTTTCTCAGCCTCCTTAGTAGCTGGGATCACAGGTGTGCACTACCACACCCAACTATTGTTTTTGTATTTTTAGTAGAGACAGGGTTTCACCATGTTGGCCAGGCTGGTCTTAAACTCCTGGCTTAAAGTGATCCACCCGCCTCAGCCTCCCAGAATGTTGGGATTACAGGCATGAGCCACTGTACCCAGACGTATTATTTTTTAGAGACAGGTTCTTGTTATGTTGCCCAGACTGATCTTGAACACCTGGACCCAAGTGATCTTCCCGCTTCAACTTCCTAAAGTGTTAGGATTACAGGTGTAAGACACCGCACTCAGCCAAAAAAATTAACTTTTTGTTAATCAGCCATCTTTTGCTTTTCTCTTCTTTTACCTAATATCCCTTGAAGTTTTAAACATTGTATGTTCTATTTTTGATTTACACTGTTGTTATAATTATGTAGTTGATCTCTTCTTTAGTATTTATATAAGCTTATACCTTTCCTAGTTACTCACTGCAGTAATTAAAATAACTTACTGTATCCTTGAGAGGTCTGAAAAAAGTTTATTGAACACCTTGGAAAAATGTGATATAAAACAATAATATTTCTTTCATTCTTGAGTTTTAATAATCACTTACCTATTTCCTCTCTCCCACCCTGCATGTTAAACTACTGTTCCCCTCTCTGTCCTCATTTTTTTGTACATATGTTCATTGTCATTTATTATACATGATTTTAAATGTTTACATGTTTTTCCCCACTATAATAAAAGTCCAGTGATAGAAGAACCTACATCTTTTTATCCTTGCATCTTTAGTGCCTAAATATTGCTTGGCTTTTGCCCATAACAGGCATTTATTGATTGGAAGCTTTAGTTTGGAGCATGTAGTATATTCCAATCTTTTTTTTTTTTTTTAAACATGTAATTCTTAATTCTTTTAGAAGCTGGATAAGAAATCATCTCCATCCACAGGAAGCCTAGATTCTGGAAATGAGTCAAAAGAGAAATTATTGAAAGGAGAAAGTGCGCTTCAGCGAGTACAGTGTATCCCTGGCAATGCCAGCTGTTGTGACTGTGGCCTGGCAGATCCACGGTGGGCCAGCATCAACCTGGGCATCACCTTGTGTATCGAGTGCTCTGGAATTCACCGGTGGGTAGGCCTGCCCAGGTTGAGAATTTATTCTTTTGGATAAAAAGAGAATTGAAGTGATGATGTTTCATTTGTTAGCTGGCTTTTTCCGCTTCTCTAACTTAGCACCAGTGTGTGTCTTTGTACCTTTAAAGAAGTGGTTAAAATCCTGGTTTTAAAAGCTTTTAAGGATTTTGGTTCATCATTCATTATTAAACAGAAGATCTGTTCTTATGTATGTGTGTTGAGGGCTTTATTAGAGCCTGTGTCACATTAAAAAACAATTTGCGCAAGTGTGCAAATAGAAACTTGATTGCTTTTTATATTAATGCAGTCGTCTTTTTTCCACTTAGGAGTCTTGGGGTTCATTTTTCGAAAGTACGATCTTTAACTTTAGACACTTGGGAGCCGGAACTTTTAAAGGTAAAAACATATTGCTTTAAAATATTTCATACGTTCACATAAAAGTGAAAGAATTTTAAGATTTCAGAATCTTGGTTTACAAATGTATGAGTTCTTCTTGGTAACAAGGTACGCTAACTAAATTGTATCGAAACACATCTGAAGCTATTTTGACAAATCTGGTGCTTCCATAATAAGTTTTAAAAATTGCTACGTTTATATATAGCACTCTTAACTTTGGGTTAGTTCACTCTTTTTTTTTTTTTTTTTGCCTTGAGACACGGTCTTGCTCCCTTGCCCAGGCTATGTAGTGACGCCATCACAGCTTACTGCAGAAGGATCTGTCTGACACTATCACAGCTTACTGTCTAAGAAGGATCCTCCTACCTCAGGCTCCCGAGTAATTGGGACCATAGATGCATGCCACCCATGCCTGGCTGATTTTTGTGTTTTTGTGTAGAGGCAAGGTTTCACCATGTTGCCCACATTGGTCTTGTACTCCTGGGCTCAAGCAATCCATCTACTTCGGCCTCCCCAAATGCTGGAACTATAGGTGTGAGCCACTACCCTTGGTCCAGTTCAGATTCTATGCCTTAAGTTTAATTTTTTCTAATTATATAAGAGATCTATTGCCATACTAAGCTTCATAATGGATTGGTAAAGCTTTTGACACTATCGGGTTGTTTTAGCATAGGATGATTTGCAAGTTTACATTTGTCAGGTTAGGAGTCATCAAACCAAGTGATCCTTTTCCCCCCGTGTCTAAGAATTTATGTCTATGAAAATGTCATAAATAATTTTAGACCCCTATGGGTTTCTGATAAGATTTACAAAATTCAAAATAGTTAATAGTATAATCCTTTTAATTACTGCCATCTAGTTTACCATATTATAGAAAACAGATGAATTTAAGGGTTGGAGTATATACTCATTTATTTCTGTCTGAAAATTGTGGCTGGGTGCTGTGGCACACACCTGTAATCCCAGCAATTTGGGAGGCCGAGGTGGGCGGGTCACTTGAGGTCAGGAGTTTGAGACCAGCTTGGCTAACATGATGAAACCTTGTCTCTACTAAAAATACAAAAAATTAGCCAGGTGTGGTGGCACGCACCTGTAATCCCAGCTACTTGGGAGGTTGAGGCAGGAAAATTGCTTGGGATATTTTTTAAAAATTCCTTTTTTTTTTTTTTTTTTTTTTGGAGACAGAGTTTCACTGTCACCCAGGCTGTAGTGCAGTGGTGTGATCTTGGCTAACTGCAACCTCTACCTCCTGGGTTCAAGCGATTCTTCTGCCTCAGCCTCCTGAGTAATTTCTTTTTGTAGAGATGGGGTTTCACCATGTTGCCATGGCTAGTCTTGAACTCCTGGCCTCAAGTGATCCCCCTGCCTTGGCCTCCCAAAGTGCTGGGATTACAGCATGAGCCACCGCACCCAGCCAGTTTTTTCAAATCCTTAACCAACTTTCTTAGCATCAGTAATTGAAAAATCCTTTCTTTTCCCATCATTTTCTTATTTTTCCTTTGCCTTATATTAAATTGCTTGTAAATAAGGTTGGTTTCTGTATGCTACTAATCTTAGGCAGTGATGTCTCACATATTGTCTCACAGTACCAGTGCAGATTTTAAAGAAGACTTTATAATAATTAGTATCTTTACTTTAAAAATGAAAAATATGCTGTATAAAACGAGAAGTAATAATCGCTCAAAGAGGAATTAGCACATTTAAGATTTATAAAAGGTAGCTGGGCTATGGGACGAGGGGAAAGGAAGTGACAGGGAGAGATAATAGAGACAAGAAATGGACGTGACAGAAAAGGGATGTCACAGAAATAATGGGACCTCAAAAGGGCTCATGGTTAAGCAAAAGGAGAGAGGCCGGTGTGGTGGGTCACGCCTGTAATCCTAGCACTGTGGGAGGTTGAGGCAGGTAGATCACTTGAGGTCAGGAGTTGGAGACCATCCTGACCAACACGGTGAAACCCTTTCTCTACTAAAAATACAAAAACTAGCTGAACGTGGTGGTGGGCATCTGTAATCCCAATTACTCGAGAGGTTGAGGCAGGAGAACTGCTTGAACCTGGAATGTGGACGTTGCAGTGAGCCAAGATCATGCCACTGCATTCCACCCTGGGCGATAAGAGTGAGACTCTGTCTCAAGAAAAAGGAGAGAAAGGGAAACCATTCTCTGTTGCCTACCTAGTGTCCACTTTAAGACAGTGCCATTCCGAAACTTCACTCCTGTTGTTGGGTCCAGATAACATTTTAATCCTCTTGCTGTCTCATCCCAGGCCTTGCTGGCTCCCACCAGCTCACATGTCCCAACACTTTAACCTCTATTCTCTACATTCTGGTAATGCCATCTTTTAATGTATGTTAGTGTCGCTTTTACTTGATTATGATTTCCCAGGGAAATGGTTTGGGTGATCTGCATCTTGGTAAAAATGTTTGTTTTGTGGTCAAGTCTGGAATTGGGCATAACTAGAAGCAATAAGATTAGCCAAGAAGGTACAGATAAAATTTATTAGTGAGGCAAGGAGAGCTTGAACAGAATTAAAGAGGTAACAGATGGAAAGGAAAATCTGAAAGAATTTGGAATATATAACTAGGAATTGTTGTCTGAATACAGAACCCAACCCAAAGAGAGGTAAAAGTTTAAAAATAAATTCCAGAAAGTTGTACATTTGATAGATTTGCATATTTCTAGGAACTAGACGTGAAAACGGAAAAGAATATATACTTAATTTTTAACTTACTGTCCCAAGACTGGCTAGTACTTACTATACCTTACTGTATAGGAATGCTTTGTTGTCATACTTCTTGTCTTAGATATAGTAGTTGTGATATGTGACTAGGTAGATACATAGATATGTAGAGAGAATTACTCTGATGGGGGTGATAAATTTCTAGGGGAGGTAGTCTGGTGAAGAACAGCAAAGTGATAATATTACTAAGTTCTTGTCTCATTTTGTTTTAACATGAAACTTCTTTGTAGACTAAGCAACTGCAGAATATGCAAGAGAATTAGTTAACTGTACTTGCTTTAAGGACTTTCAAATTTTGGCTTATTTTAAGGTCTTTTTAGCTTATTTTTCTATTTTTCTGCTAATAGCTTATGTGTGAGTTGGGAAATGATGTTATAAATCGAGTTTATGAAGCTAACGTGGAAAAAATGGGAATAAAGAAACCACAACCAGGACAAAGGTACTATTTCAGTTGTCTTAATGTATGTAATACCTTTTCCCTCCTAATTAGGAATACAGCTATGATTTTATTTCACTGTAGTAATTGATATATAACACTGAGACAGTGTTTAGAAGCAGCCATTACTACTTTGTTCAAATGTGGCTCTTTCTTGGATATGTTAATTAGATAATTGTGTTGAACGGATAATCAGTAGTCTCCAGATTAGGGAGAATCTTAAAAACTGGGGATCTGCACAGGAATGTAGAAACCCTTAGTAGTTAGTTAAATTCGACCAAAGTTCTGTTCATGATAACATTTAAAAAGGGATAATTTAGTCATTAATGTCTCTAAGGATCAAGTTTCTGCTACCTACAGTGAATAATTTTACATTATTTATACTTAATTTAGCAAAGATTTGTTACTCACAGTTTATGCATAGCGTTATGATATTGAAGAATTGAAGATGCAAAGTGTGCCTCTGGAAGGGGAGAGTACCTGATGGCTTGTGTTTAAAAGTATTGTTCCAGTTCTGTATAAGGAGGCTCATTGAATGAAGTGGCTAAGAGTTGGTACCGTCTCTACTAAAAATACAAAAATTAGCTGGACATGGTGGACACCTGTAATCCCAGCTACTCGGGAGGCTGAGGCAGGAGAATGGCTTGAACCTGGGAGGCGGATGTTGCAGTGAGCTGACATCATATATATAACAGATGTGGCATTTTATGATGGTATCATAAATCAGAAGTTTAAAATATATATTCTTAAATTAACAATGCCATGTTGTTTTAAAGTGGTCTTCTGAAAAATTGTGGCCAACAATATTGCCAGTTCAGTATGTGAAATTATTTCTTTGAGTAAAAATGAAAATAAAGTTACTTTCTATAAATTTTTACGTTTTTTTCTGGTGATGTTTTTGATTCTGCAAAAAGCATGAGAGGAGTATAGAAATGAATAGCACAGAAATTAGGAGAAGGGAAGAGTACCATGTTAATACTTGTGACTTTTTAGTTAGGTTATTTGTATTTTACTTGAGTGTGAAATCATAGTTCATTAAATATTTGAAAGGAAAACATATGTCACAGATTCAGTTTTAACTAGTATTACATTCAGTGACTTTGTTTGAATATATTCAATGTATATAATGGCTTTTTTGCTAAGAGATTAAACAAAACATCGTGACATTTTTATGTATACCAGACAGGAGAAGGAGGCATATATCAGAGCAAAATATGTGGAGAGGAAATTTGTGGATAAATCTTCTATATTATCATCGCCTCCTGAGCAGGAAAAAAAGTTTGTCTCTAAAAGTTCTGAAGAAAAGAGGCTGAGCATTTCTAAATTTGGGCCAGGTGACCAAGTCAGAGCATCTGCCCAAAGTTCAGGTATCACAAACTTTCTTACTGTGTCTATAACTATTTTCTTAAGCTCAAGTCACTTTTATAATCCCTGAACTAGTAGCCATTGTCAGTTTTTTAAATGTTAAAAACCTGTTCCCTTCTACATATTCTAAGGAAAACTGAATTTCTGTGTCTTTAAAACAGTTAAATTTGAACAGTGCCATGATATTTCACCTTTCTAGGTCATATGTATATTCTAAGGAATAAAACTGCTTAAAATGCAAGGGGAGATGGGAATTATAAACCTGTGATTCCAAAAGCCCTAAGTATCTGATTAACTACCTGATTTCCTTCCTATTTTTTCCTCCTAAATTTTTTCCCAGTAACGTTTCTTCCTGCCCTTTTCCCTTCTTATGGCCTGCTTTGTGCTTTGCTAACTTGCATGTCCCCAGTGATTGCTGTAAATAGCGACGAGGCCAGGCGGGAGTCTCTGTTTTGTCCTGATGAGCTAGATTCACTCTTCTCCTACTTTGATACTTCTTCAAAACTGCGTAGTAGTAAGTACTACTCTTGTGGAGCATTCCAAGTCTGTGCCAGTGGTCATTGTGCGGTGTGGCCATTTCTCTAGATGTTACCCATTGTCTCAGAATTACACGTTACTTACAGTCGTATAATAAATTAAGCTCTTACTACCCCTGACATATTAGGGGGTAATGAAGTGTGTTACAACTCTGAAAATAAGTTTATTTTCAGGTTTTGTGATTGATTTATATCTCAGTAAGCTAAGTGTTGAAAAAGGTTAAAATTATATTAAATGCATTCTACTCGTGGTGCCTGAGTTCATGTTGATGTGTAAGAGCTCATTTTAAAACCTTGTTTGTGGGAGATTGTTTTATAAATGGCATGAACTTTAATCATTAGTCAATTTTTCTTTAAAACAGTCAAAAGTAATGACAGTGGAATCCAGCAGAGCTCTGATGATGGAAGAGAATCTTTACCCTCCACAGTATCAGCCAATAGTTTATATGAGCCTGGTGAGTTCTGATGAAACTCAGTGTTACTGGTTTTGTTTGCTGAAAAACGCATGTGGTAAATGTCTACTCCATTAAATATTTTAAAGGAAGGAGTTAGTCTTTTAGAAGGTACTATGGGAAGAGTAATACTCTTTTTTTTTTTTTTTTTTTTTTTGAGACGGAGTTTTCGCTCTTGTTACCCAGGCTGGAGTGCAATGGCGCGATCTCGGCTCACTGCAACCTCCGCCTCCTGGGTTCAGGCAATTCTCCTGCCTCAGCCTCCTGAGTAGCTGGGATTACAGGCACGCTCCACCATGCCCAGCTAATTTTTAGTATTTTTTTAGTAGAGACGGGGTTTCACCATGTTGACCAGGTTGGTCTCTATCTCTCGACCTCTTGATCCACCCGCCTCGGCCTCCCAAAGTGCTGGGATTACAGGCTTGAGCCACCGCGCCCGGCCTGAGAAGAGTAATACTCTTAAATGAGAAAGCAACTATTTCTTCATATTTGGAAATTCTGTCCTAGTTACACATTGTTTATACATTTCTTTTTTTTTTTTTTTTTTTTGAGTCTTGCTATGTTGTTATGAGGCTACAATGCAATGGCGCCATCTTGGCTCACTGCAACTTCCACCTGGGTTCACGCAGTTCTCCCACTTAGCCTCCTGAGTAGCTAGCTGGGTTACAGGTATCTGCCACCACACCCAGCGAATTTTTGTATTTTTTAGTAGAGATGGTGTTTCACCATGTTGGCCAGGCTGGTCTTGAACTCCTGACCTCAAGTGATCCGCCTGCCTCAGCCTCCGAAAGTGCTGGGATTACAGGTATCAGCCAGCATGACTGACTCTTAGTTGTACATTCTTTCAAGCCTCATGGTTTGTGCTAAAAGTGCCTTACCAAATGCCAAGGATAATTTTTAATCCACATGAACTGTGTGTCTTTTTACCCTTTATCTTTCCTTGTGGCTATCCTATCAGGAGAAAGAGAACAGCAACCTCCTCCTCATTAGATTTTTGTTTTGACTTGTGCTTTATATCTTTATTCTCTCCTCCATGATTTCAGTGATTTTGATTCTGCAGAGTACTTGGGAGTAAGCACTCTTCAAAATTTGAAGTGCTTATAGTGCAAATTGGGATGGTACTAGACCATCCTAGGAATGAAGTGAGGTTTGGTCTAGTAGTAAAAGTTTTTATGGATTCTAGTAGTAAAAGTTTTTATGGATTCTTGCTGCTTCTTGAGTCCAGACATTTAGGAATATACTCAATTACTCAGTTTGAATCTAGTATAGAATAATTAATCTGTCCATTGGAGACTGGCAAGAACAGAAAGGCCTGGCATATCAGTTATAGTCTTTATGGGAGAAGGTTGAAAGTTGGGGAATATCTATGTGAAAATCTCCCATAAACTCTTTATGATAGGTTAATGGTTTCTTATAGCTTTATTTTTTTTTTAATTGGGATAAAATTTACCATCTTAACCTTTTTTTTTTTTTTTTTGGGAGACCAAGTCTCGCTCTATTGCCCAGGCTGGAGTGCACTGATACAATATTGGCTCACTGCAGCCTCCGCCTCCGGAGTTCAAGCGATGCTCCTGCTTCAGTCTCTTGGGTAGATGGGATTATAGGCACCCGCTATCACGCCTGGCTAATTTTTGTATTTTCAGTAGAGATGGAGTTTCACCATATTGGCCAGGCTGGCTTCAAACTCCTGACCTCAAGTGATCCACCCGCCTTGGCTTCTCAAAGTGCTGGGATGACAGGTGTGAGCCACCCACACACAGCCCATCTTAACCATTTTAAAGTGTACAGTTTAGTTGCGTTAAGTGTAGTGACATTATTGTGCTACCACTGCCGCCATTCATCGACAGAACTCTTTTTATCTTGCAAAACTGAAACTCTGCCTATTAAACAATTTTTTTCTTTCCCTGCCAAGAGCTCATTTTTAATGATGTATTTGTGTTTGCTTTTCAGAAGGAGAAAGGCAAGATTCTTCTGTGTTTATTGACTCTAAACATCTTAATCCAGGGCTTCAGCTTTATAGGGCTTCATATGAAAAAAATCTTCCTAAAATGGCTGAGGCTTTGGCTCACGGCGCAGATGTGAACTGGGCTAATTCCGAGGAAAACAAAGCAACACCACTTATTCAGGCTGTATTAGGGGTATGCATTTATACAATGACATTTTCAGTGACAATCAAATATTTTTAAAAAATCATGATACTTTCTGAACTGGCATGAGTATTATCTTTGCTTCAAGAGATCGGTTTGAAAATAGAAGGAGCCTCTGTGCTATTAATAGTAGTGGCTTCTGAGCATCACTTTGATTGTTTCAGCAGTTTTTTTGCAGTGGAAGAGAATTCTGATGATGAAAATACATAGTGTGTTTTGGTAGTTCACAAACTGCAAATGAATCTCTATTAGAAGCAGTTCTTGAGAAGAAAATATAATTTCTCTGCTTTGGCTGAGGAAATATTTTTTTCTTTTGGAGAGAATGAAATGGAAATGCTATTTGAGTAAAGAAAACTAATTGTTTTTAAAAAGAAATGTATTATTGTTTCTTGTTATTTGCTTTTGTATATAGTTATCCTCTTTTTTCCTTTAAGGGTTCTTTGGTGACATGTGAGTTCCTCCTACAGAATGGTGCTAATGTGAACCAAAGAGATGTCCAGGGGCGGGGACCATTGCACCATGCCACCGTCTTAGGGCACACAGGGTAACTGTAGTGCTTTCATATTTAAGGAGATTTTATTTGAAAAATTATTTTAAATTAATGTTTTAGTTTTTCTCAGGTGAATGTTTTTAGGTAGAGTTTGTAAAGAGATGTGTTCCGTGACTTATTTTGTCATGATGGAATTTGAAAGTTGAAAAAAATCTCATTTAGAAAAAGCTGCTGTTGGTTTTCAGTTATGAAAATTTCAAGGCCTACTTTGACCTTAACTTGTCATTAAATAGATCCATTTTAGTACTTCCTCTGTTACTGAAATTGTGGTGATTTTTGTCAGACAACTTAAGCCTATGTTTTTGTTTGTTTATGGATGTACATTTTTTCTATAATGTGCACAATAACCTATTTAAGGATAATTTTGTAACTTTGCATGTTTAGTTTTTCCACAGGATAGCTAAACTCAAATTCTAAACTAAATTCTTACTTTGGTTTATTGATGTTGTGTCTTTTGGAGTGATAGTAAGATTCACAGAACAATAAAGCCTTGAAAATGGACTTTCTATTATTAGAAAGTATAAATGAAAGAAAAATGCTGGCCTTACATGAAAAGTTTGTGTCTTAGACGATTGTTTCTTAATAAGACATCACAGGGTATCTGATTATTACGTGGAGATAAGCAACAAGCTCTTATTTAAAATGTTTTAAAATAGTGTCTTCATTTATTTAGAGACAGGGTCTCATGCTGTTGCCCAAGCTGGAGTGCAGTGGCATTATCATAGCTCACTACAGCCTTGCCCTGGTAGCTGGGGTTATAGGCATGAGCCACTGTGTCTGGCTATTTTTATTTTTTATTTTAGATTATTTATTATTATTATTTTGAGCTGTAGTCTTGCTCTGTTATCCAGGCTGGAGTGCAGTGGCAGCATCTCAGCTCACTGCAACCTCCGCCTCCTGGGATCAAGCTACTCTCTTGCCTCCGCCTCCTGGGTAACTGGGATTATAGGCGCACGCCACCACACCTGACTAATTTTTCTGTATTTTTAGTAGAAATGAGGTTTCATGTTGGGCAGGCTCGTTTTGAACTCCAGACCTCAGGTGATATGCCCACCTTGGCCTCCTGAAGTGCTGGGATTACAGGCGTGAGCCACCGTGCCTGGCCACGTCTGGCTATTTTTATCATGGCTTGTTTTCTTCTGTCAGCAAAGAGATTCAGTTCAATTACTTCATCATTAAAACTGTCTACACTTAAAAAAGGTAGTATTTAAGGTAGTACTTAACTTTGTATTTTCTTTTTTTAAGAGATAGGAGTCTCACTATATTGCTCAGGTTGGAGTGTAGTGGCTGTTCATAGGCACATTCATAGCTCACTACAGGCTTGAATTCCTGGGCTCAGGATCTTCATGCCTCAGCTCCCCAAGTGGCTGGGACTATAGGCATGCACCACCCCTTCTGGCTAAAGTTTTAATTTTTGTAGAGATAGGGTGTTGCTAAGGCTGGTCTCGAACTTCTGACTTCAAGTCATCCCCCTCCCTCAGCCTTCTGAGTAGATGAGATTATAGGTACTTGTCTAGCCATTATTTTCTTCTTAAACTATCAAAATTCTTTCCATTTTATTTCATAGAATCCATTTAGTCATTATTTCATATTTTAAAATTTTTCTCAGTTTATTCAAGTCATGAATATTTTTGAGTACAGCAAGCAGATTACTTCTCATTCTTTGCTCTTGTATTATCATTATTATGAAGTTTGCATTGCCTTGGCTTTCTTCATTTTCAAATAATGACCTTGTGTGATCTTTTTTTCATTTAGGTTTATAGATACCTGTGCAAATCTTTTTATAATATTTTTTGAGGGTAGGGACCACAACTTATATATCTACCATGCTATCTAATAGCACCAGATTAAGTAAGATAATGTATGCAAAAATACATTGAGACTTGTAAAATGTTGATCTTGATAAATATTTATTAGTAGTCAGTGTTCAATTAATATTTGTAGAATGAAGAATTTCCTAATGAAAATGTTATTTCTTTAGGTAATACTTTCTTAAAAGATGAATACTAATTTTTTTTTTCTTATTTGCAATATCTCAAAAATGCTGTTTTCTTAAACAGGCAGGTATGTTTATTCCTAAAACGCGGTGCCAATCAACATGCCACTGATGAAGAAGGGAAAGACCCTTTGAGCATAGCTGTGGAAGCAGCCAATGCTGATATAGTAACCTTGTAAGTATTTCTTTTGCACAACTATTTCCATATAGTGAATTATAGTTGTCTCTTGGTTATCCGCAGTGGATTGGTTCCAGGACCTTGTGGATACCAAAATCCACATATGCTCATGTCCCTTATATAAAATGGTATGTATCTACATATAACTTACACACCTCCTCCTATATACTTTGGCCAGGTGCAGTGGTTCATGCCTGTAATCTCAGCACTTTGGGAGGCTGAGGTGGGCGGATCACAAGGTTAGGATTTCAAGACCAGCCTGGCCAATATGGTGAAACCCTGTCTCTACTAAAAATAAATTAGCTGGGTGTGGTGGTGGGTACCTGTAGTCCCAGCGACTTCTGAGGCTGAGGCAGGAGAATCTCTTGACCTGGGAGGTGGAGGTTGCAGTGAACCTAGATTGCGCCACTGCACTCCAGCCTGGGCAACAACAGCAAAAAATAATAATAATCTCTACGTTACTTATTATACCCTAATACAATGGAAATGCTATGTGTATAGTTGTTAATACTATTTATTTTTTTATTTGCATGTATGTATGTATGTAGGTATGTATGTATTTTTTGAGACCCACTTTCTCTCTGTTGCCCAGGTTGGAGTGCACAATCTCAGCTCATTGCAATCTCTACCTCCCAGTTTTAAGTGATTCTCCTGCCTCAGCCTCTCTAAGATCTGGAATTACAGGCATGATCCACCACACCCTGCTAATTTTTGTGTTTTTAGTAGAGATAGGGATTTTGGCCAGGCTGGCCTCAAACTAACCTCAAGTGATCCGCCCACCTTGGCCTCCCAAAATGCTGTGATTACAGGTGTGAGCCACTGTGCCTAGCAATTATTAGTATTTTTAAATTGTTGTATGGTTATTTTGTATTGCCTTTTTCCCCCTGAATATTTTCCATTGGTAATGGGTTGAAACTGCAGATAAGGACAGCCAACTATACTTGAATGAAGTGTTAAATGAACTTTGAAGATGGTTGGTATTTACTATGTGCCCTGTACTTTTCTAAACACATTAAATGTATGAAGCAGTTTAAATGCATGAACTTATTTGGTTCTCACAACACTATGAGAAAGATATTAGTATTGTCTTCATTTTATAGAAAAAGAAGCCAAGCCATAGATAATCTGAAATGTTAGTAAGTGGTGGAGTTGAGATTTGAATCCAAGAATTGTGACTCTAAAACCCATGTATTTAGCCATTTGTACTATTCTGCCCGATATAGGAACAGAAAACCAGTGACTTCTCCAAAGTGGTTTCTTTAACTCTTTGTATAGTACTAGGGCAGAGGTTGGGATTGTTAGAGAAACAAATAATTATTCCACTACCTTGAGAATTAGAGGATTCTCTAATTCTGTAGGCAGGACAGCTGCATTGATGTTAGTAATTTGTGAAGTTCCATTACCTTTAGGCAGTGGTAGGAATTTGTGCTTGTTTTTGAAAAGTATTGTTCACATAAAGCTGGGTGCTCCCACCTATGATTTAAGCTACCCAGGAGGCTGATGTGGGAGGGTTGCTTCAGCCCAGAAGCTGGAGAAAAACCTGGGCAACATAGCGGGATCCTGTCCCTACAAAAAGTTAAAAATTAGCCAGCTGTGGTGGCACATGCTTGTAATCCTAGCTACTTGGGAGGACAAATGAGACCCTGCCTCCCAAAAAAAAAAAATTATTTACATGAATACTTGATTAATTTTTAGATAAAAATGCATGCTTTTGAATGTTTGAAAAAAATTTAATGTGATCTTTTAAAGAATTTTGAGGTCTTAATTTGATTTTCATCTCAGATGAAAGAAGTTTGTTACACATGGAATTCAGAAAATTAATCATGACTAGCCAGGCGCAGTGGCTCACGCCTGTAATCCCAGCGCTTTGGGAGGCCGAGGTGGGCAGATCACGAGATCAGGAGTTTGAGACCAGCCTGACCAACATGGTGAAACCCTGTCTCTACTAAAAATGCAAAAATTAGCCTAGCGTGGTGGCATGTGCCTGTAATCCCAGCCACAACAGGAGGCTGAGGGCAGGAGAATTGCTTGAACCCAGGAGGTGGAGGTTGCAGTGAGCCGAGATTGTGCCATTGCAGTGTAGCCTGAGTGACAGAGTGAGACTCTGTCTCACAAACAAAACAAACAAACAAAAAAACCATCACTTATACTTCATTGTTGTGTAGGAAATCTCAAGCATATTTTGTGTTGCCACTTACTCATTTTAATCCGGGCTAAATGAGACCCATAATTGGTTATCCCCCATCATTGGAGAAGAAATAGGTCCATTCACACTCCTGAATCTCAAATGGCTTGTTGGCACTCCTGAGGTCCTACTGAGAACTTTTGACCTCTCATATGTCACCTCTGCCTGACTTCTGCCAAATAAAAAGCCAAAACAGAATGGCAAAACATACTTTCTCAGATCCTTTTCCCTTTGAAGGGGTGGTTGTTATTATGCAGGGTATTGCAGGAAAATCTGGAACTCTTAAATCCTTATAGATTTACAGTAGAAGAAAGATCAGTTATTAAAGATAGGAATGATATAGAGAAACAAGCCCTGCAGACAGTTTCCCAGGCAATTCCTATATAGCAGTGGACCCTTCCTTAAAAATAATGTGTTCTCAAATTGTCTAAATTTTCTCGTTTTACTTTGTGTGAATGCTTCAGTTTTACTTAAGAATTTTTATAAGTAAGCGTCCTCTGTAAAAATCCAAATGCCACAGGACAATTTGTGGAACTATTGTTAATACACACAGCTGTCAAGAGAGGAGATGAAGGGAATTGTGGAACTTTGAAGATTGGAAAAGTTGATGTCACATGCTGTAGTTGTCAGAACATTTCAGAAGAGGGTGATGGAGGTTTGAGAATGCAGTGGAAATTTGGTGGCTCAGAAGGACAGACAAGGAATACAGAGTAGGAGAGGGATACCAAACATAATATTTGCCTATTTAAAAATGTTGCTTAAAGGAAATACTTCTTAATCTAGTGCTACATGTCATCTGCTGCCAAGATGAACAACCTGAAAAAGAATGTATAAGTAATATGGTAATGTTGGAAAATTCTTGGTAACTCCTAGTCATTTATTATGACGTTTGTATGTCAAAATATATTTCCATTATTTAGAGGTGACACATGCTGTTTATATGTCTGGAACTACCTCACTTCAGGATGAGCCAGAGTGAACTTAGGACAGTGTCTCACTTCCACACTGTAGAAATAATAATTTCAACAGTTGGCAGTTAAAATTTGACAGGTTGCTGTAAGAGCCAGGAATTCTTAGGTGTCTGGTGGAAGCAAGCCACTAGAGGTATTGCAGGGATGCTGCTGAAGTAGAGCTAAAATGTGCTAGTCAGAAAATTTGTATCATCCTTTCTCATGAGAATTGTATCAAGGTGAGATAGTTATTGTTGTACTTCTAATTACTGGGTCTGATAAACTAAAAGCCAGATTATTTTAATGGCAAATAAAAAACAATTACATTAGTGCACGTATTACCTGTTTATAGACTTTATGACACTTGTATAATGTCATCTAAAACATTATTTTATTGATTTTTAGGTTACGTTTAGCAAGAATGAATGAAGAGATGCGGGAATCAGAAGGACTGTATGGACAGCCAGGTCAATATTCTACTAATAACCATACTGAAATGCAGTATAAGAAATGCATTCAGGAATTTATCAGTTTACAACTGGAAGATTCATAGTTCTTTAGCAAACTAATGTGATACTATAGAGTTTTTATAACCTACTTGTAAGTTGTGAGTTGTTAGCTTTGTACTGTACTTAACTGAATCCTTGGGTGGCTAATCCCGGGCCTTTAAAAATTCCTAACTCTTCCTATGACAGTACACACTGACTTGCTCTATTTAGCTCTGGCTGCTGACCTCTTTATTTGCTGTACAGATGTCTTCCATATACATTCCAGTGAAGTGAATGGAATGGTAAAAAATTCTTTATATATTTACAGCAGCAAAATAGTTGTTTTCTTTTTGGAATTCTTTTTAGCTGTCAAGGGAATATAACAGAATTGTTTTCTTTTTGTTATTCAGGGAATTTCTATCAATTACGTTCAGGGAAAAAAAATCACCATGTGTCTGGCATATAAAAAGCCAGTATGGAAAATACCAAGAATAAGTTTACTGATGAGTTTTGTACTATAATCTAAAAATGAGTCGAAGATTTGAAATGAAATTTATCAGTAAGTGGAGAAGTCCATGATGTGAGTGGAGTGAGTTTGAAATGCTGAGGGAAAAGATCTCTTTTTATCTAAAGATAAAGCTTTGCCTCCAGGCAGTAGTACATTATCTGTTGGATAAGTAGAAGTATTTAGAACAATAGTTTTTGCACCAGATGGCAAAGTAGATTTATTCTATTTGAGAAATTTCAACTCATGATCACCTCAAATTTCATTTTGAGAAATTATCACCTTTGAATCAAGATATCAAGGAAGAAATATTGCTGATCAGATTCTTCTCTTTGATGAATACATTGATTAGACATTCTTCACAAAGAAGAGAGTAATTATTGGTTCTTTTGTTTCATGAATTTAAGTGTATGAATTACTCATCTGTCTTTTAAATTTATATACATATTAGTAAAAAATTTCATGAATTCATGACTATAATACTCGAGATTGTTCAGTTTGCAATGAATAGGTTTGGTTTTTTAAAAAATGAATATTGACACATTATTTTTAAAGTGACCTGGTAATATCTCTTCTTCTTGTTCAGATACATTTTGAAATTTCTGTACTTCAGCCATTTGTTTTAACAGATTAATATATAATTAATGTGAGGCCATTCTTTCCTCAGAGAACCATATTTACAACTGCTTATTTTTGGCCTAATTTAATATGGAACAAGTAAGAACATTAAGAATAGAGGCACTTCAGCTAGATATTTCTAATCTAGGGTGTCCCACTTTAATCCTATGGATCATATACAATACTAGGCAACTCATGATGTTCCAAGATGCAAGAGTGCTGATTAAGGGTGAAGCTCTAGCATTAATTCTGGATTTCACCCATTTGTTTTAAACTTGAATGTTAGATTTTAAATAGGTTATAATTTTGTAACAGATATTCTTAACTGATAGTATTACTAGGCCATTTTTGAGGCCTTTGTGTTTAAGCACTTTAAAATAAAAGTTGTTTAAAGAATATGACCTGATATTTGTGAGAGAAGAGTGAACCTCAAGATTTTAAGTTAAACAATTATTTTCCCCCAGAAATTTTTAACTTCAGTGTTTGGTTAGCTGCTCTTTCCTTAAGGTGTTTACCGATGAAGTTTACCCAGCTTACTAGTCAGGTGGTCAGTGGTCGACTCTTTGGAGTTGGGAAGCTTGAAAGGAGAGGGCCTCTGAGTTCTTGCCACCTCTAGTTCCACCTGAATTGCTTGGGTTTCTGCTGCCATCATTTAGGAGCATTCAAATGTCTTTCACTGTCATTTTTGTTTGAGTTTACATATACGTAAACTTAAAATATACAAAAAAAGATTTTTCCAATTTGTTTTAATGAAAACTTGGATAAAAAGCCTCATTTTAAAACAAGCTTTCCTACCATTCTCACATTTTAATTTCTAGGTTAAAAAAAATAGATTAGAATTCTGGAAATAGTGTATCAGAATAAAATTGAGATTTTTCTGATCTATTTGAGGATCATCTTGAAAAGGATTAGGTTTTTAACTCATTCAGAGGGCTTAATATTTAAAGCAGGATAATTTTATGCTTAGACAGGGGGCATGGTGAAATGGCATAGCAATTGTTCTCTGGTTACTATTCTTTTCCTTTATGGATCTTTACAGAGCAGTTATGTTTGGCTCAGGCAGCTGTTCTTTGTTTTTCCTCTGGTTATCACTGTACATTTTTCTATGAAAGGCTTTGGTTGCTTGTTTTATTGGGATCCTTTTTTGGTTTTCTTAGCAATAGAATGAAAACCTCATTACTCTGGATAACTTTTAAATGCAGGTATTTTTTTATGTTTTGATAATGAAGAGCTCTACCCTTTAAAAGATTCAGAAATAATCTTTGGCAATCACTGATTTATTTCTAGGAAACCCCACTTGTGAACTTTCTATCTGTATAACCCTAAGGACCCGGGACTCCCTGCTTCTTGTGTGGTGTGATGTGAGAGCACACTTTTTTCTTTTTCCTTTTTTTTTTATAAAAAAGATGGAGTCTCCCTCTGTTGCCCAGGCTGGAGTACAGTGGTGCGATCTCTGTTCACTGCAACCTCTGCCTGCCGGGTTCAAGAGGTCCTTCTGCCTCAGCCTCCTGAGTAGCTGGGATTACAGACGTGCACCAACACACCTGGCTAATTGTTTTGTATTTTTAGTAGAGATGGGGTTTCATCAACTTGGTCAGGCTGGTCATAAACTCCAGACCTCAAATGATCCACCTGCCTCCTCGGCCTCCCAAAGTGCTGGGATTACAGGCATAAGCTACCGTGCCTGGCCCAAGCATACTTTTTTTCAAAAGAAGGTGTGCCTCTCTTTGACAGTCCCTATACACCTTAGGAGATATGGGTGTGTGAGGGAAACAGCATGCTTTTCTCTCAATTGTTGGAAACCAGTTCGGTGGTTCCCAGTCTCTGGCTTTGTGACTCTTCTTGATTGTTGGCAGGCTCTCAGCCAGTTGAGAATCATCACTGCTTTAGACACCCACTACTGGTTATGTGAGTATGTAGCAAGCACAAGCTGGGAATCACTGATCTAAGCAATTATGAAAGTAAGCTGTTACCAACCCAGAAGGGGTAAGGTCATGCATATGATGACCTGGGGGTGGGTGTCACATGCTGCCATCCCTTTGAGGGGACTACATTTCAAGAGCAAAAATAGCAAACTCTTGAATCATCATAACTGCTGTTGCGGTAGATATTCTGAGTACCAAAAATTAAAAATTAATTTAAATTTTCAGTGGAAACACAGCAGTCTGTATTTTAAAAACTCAGAGCTGTCCAGACACATAGAAAAGTTAACTCTCTGGAGGGAAATAGAATGTGGTTAAGTTTATGCCTAGTATTATAAATGTTGGATGATTAGTTGTTTACCATTTATAATAAATTGTTAAATGTATTTCTGGGAACATTCCATGGCAGCATATTCTGGGTTGTTGTTTATGTGTTCCAATGTAGACAAATTATATTTGCCTTGGCAAAAATTCTAAGTAATCAAAATTATATTTAAATATTTAAAAATCACATTGAAATTCAATTTGTGTTAGATGTATTAAGTATCTTAGTCACTATTGTTCTTGTAATGTTTGCTTTCAACAGCACATTTTGAGATCTAAGAAAGGTAGTACATTAACATTGTATTAATGTTTCCTTAGAAACTAAATGTTAACAAAAAGTTTTATGTGTGTATATGAAGGTGGCAACTTCCTTTTGTATTATATTAACACTTTTAAATGTATTCAGTCAGTGAAACCAATGATTATTAGGGCACCTACACTTTTATTCAAGGAAGCATTTGAGTCTTATGATTTGTTTTGCATGGTACAATGGTTCTACTAAAATGTACTTGTGTAATAGGTACTAGATGATTTAAAAACAAAAACTGGGAAACCATTTTAAAAATTCCATAGCTTGTTATACAAAATATGCATTGCTAATAGTAGAAGCCATATATTGCCATTGTACTGTTGTACTACTTAACAGTGCTCATCTGGTGCTATCTGTAGACTATTTGGTATTAATGTCAGCTAGACCCTTCTTCCTATTTCTTCTTGAATGTATAATGTGTGCCTTTTAAGTTACTTCTAGTGTTGAATGGTAAAATCTTTGTGGTATTTTTGTATTATAATCTGCACTTTACACTTTCTTGAAAGTAAAATTCCAGACTATCCAGTTTAAAAAGTATTTTAAAAATATTTATAATGTTTACAATAAATATTTTAAATATTTCAATTCAACATCTAAAAATTAGAAAAAATACTTTATATGGTTTGTTGCTATTTAATGTTGCTCTCTTCTCTGTTTATTTTATATCTTTTAGAATGGTTAAGAATGAGAATAGCAATGTTTGTTTTTTGATGTGGAAGTAAACTTTCACGAAATCATGGATATAATTGGATTGTCTTACCAGTTCCAGTGTATCAACCTTTTATTTTAGTAATGTCCATATGAGTTAGATGTTACTCTCAGCAACCTGTTAATAATCACGTCTTGTTTTTTTCTTTTTAAAGTAGACTGATTAGGTTTAATAGATTGATTCAGGTCATGAATAAATTTCCAGGGCTAAATGAAAGCTATATAGAGATGTTAATAAGTTGCTTTTTACCTAAATATAAAAAGTGACTGAAAAGTATTAAAAATTTTTTATTGAAAGTCTTTGGTTATGCTGGTAGACCTCTTTACTAGATCTTTATTTCTATCCTCAACTTTTTTCTATTTCTCTAGCTTTTGATATGACACCTCTTGTCTCAAAAATCTCACTTTTTAAAAACTGACAAAACTTACTGCACTACTAACAAGTGTAGCAATGAGTTTGTTATAAGATGGATGCAAGGTATCTTACAGGAGATAATTATAAAACATGTTACAACAATAATAATCAAAAACAGTATTTTATGGTTGAAATCTTGAGAACAGAATTATGCCAAGCATTTGTATAAGGCTAGTGTGTAGCAGGAAGCATTCATGATCAATGATTTATCTTGAAAATAAGATTCCTTTTTCTGAGAGATTGATCTGTATGTGTGTGTATATTTAGTTTCTCATGACAAGAAAAGTGGTATTCAATTAGCTATAATATCAGTATCTATAATCTACTTCTTAACAAGCATATTTGTACATACACACATATGTTTATTTTTCTAATTTAACAGATGTTCTTGGTATTTTATTTGCATTTCGTCATAGCATTCTTGCTCATATGACCTAGAGTTAAACAAAAACCCAACTTTTAAATGCAAAACTATTATTTTAAAGCCATTTTCTAGGATTTTGTTGTTAATTTTTGTAGAGACATGGTCTTGCTGTGTTGCCCAGACTGGTCTTGAACTCCTGGCTTCAACCAGTTCTCCCCACCACCACCCCATAGCCTCCCAGAGTGTTGGGGTTATAGGCATGAGGCACTGCACCTGACCAGGTTTTTATTTTCTGAATTTAGTAAGCAGTGGATAAGGTGCATTAGTTTTAATTGTCTGTTAATGTTTGAGTAAAAAATTACTTTTTAATATGCTCTTTTAAATTAAATTCCTTTTAATTAAAAGATAGTATTGTTTTTCCCTACCTGATTATCAGTTTGTTTTGTTAATAACTTGAATCCATCCAAAATATTAGTATTTGGTTTTAGTCAATTTTTTTTGGCCCTGTTATCAAGGGAAATATTTATTTAAAGAAGGTCTCATTTACTATTCTTCATTTAGAATGACTTCCCCCCCCCATGTGTTAATAAATGTATTTCTTTACATTGCTTTAAAATACTTGCATCTTTGCTCTTTTCTAACTCTGAGCTTTCCTCTGTGGCTACATCTGAGGTGCTTTTTACAGGTACAGTTTTTTTTTTATTTCATTATATAATTTTTTAGCATTTATTTTTAGCTCTCTTTCTTCCAAAAATGCTCATCTGAACAAAATTTTAATGTAATGAATTATACAGTAGTTACTAGTCATAAATATGAATGTTATTTTATTAATACTTGTGTAAATGTTTAAAGTGTCTGTATTTTATTTCACACAGGTGATGAAACTTATCAGGACATATTTCGTGATTTTTCCCAAATGGCGTCCAATAATCCAGAGAAACTAAATCGTTTCCAGCAAGATTCACAGAAATTCTGAATATTTTTAAAAAGGAGAAAATATGGAATCTGGTTACCCCTTAATGTATACAGCTAAAAATTCACAAATTTTTACTGCTTTAATTCTACTTAATTTTGGTAGATATTGAATGGCTTGGAAAAAGGTACCCATTTAACAGATTTGTAAATTAAAACATAGCTATCTAGTAGTTGGGAGAGGAACCTAGTTAAGGACCTCTTTTATTTAAAAAATAATAATAAGCCTGTTTAAAGGGCTATTTTTATAGATAAAAGTTCAGTCTAGATTTTGGCCATGTCTACGTTACAGGATGCTGGGAGGTCAGACAAAAATGATTCTTTTGCCAATGGGTAGTAGCATTGATGTTTTTCTTCCCCATGTATCTTGCCAAGGATCATTCAGTCAAGCATGTCTTCATCAGTGGAATCCAACTGTCCTGCCTGCCTCAAGAATATGTCTTTTCTTTAGCTTCCCTGATGATTTTTGGTGGTTCAGAAATAGGTGTGTGTGTTTACGTGTGTTTGGTAACCTAGCTATCATACACATAAATATATGATTTATTAGAACTAAAGAATGTGTTTTCCCCATTTGTTCCTAAGTGCGGTTATACTCCTTAGATGACAGGTTATTGTCCAGTACTTTAATATATGTATGTATAATGGCTGTACAGGTAGACCATAATTGAGTCCTTTAGAATTACTCTATTTTATGCAGCAAAAAGCAGCTTTTTTTTTTTTTTTTTTTTTTAAATTACAAAATCCCAGTTCAAAATGTGTAGCTCTTCATTGTTGGGTTGATTTCCTAAAACCTCGACAAATGTATTGATGTAATAAAACTGTTTTAAAGGTTACTTCAATGTTGCAAAATTATGCTTTCATCAAAAGTTAGCTTTAAAGGAAAAATCGATTTATAAAATAATGTGGGACATTTTTGTCTTTGAAATTTGTTCTTTTAAAGATGCAGTTTTGCTGTTGCTCCCAGGGAAAGAAAAATCTCTATACAAAGGAGAAAAAGTACCCCATTTATTTTTAGTTAATATTAAAATATATAGCAATAAATGGCTGTTTATTTTTTTCTATATCTATTTTGTGTACTTGTACACAGTGTACATTCTTTTAAATTATATCATGTATATAGCTTTACTATTCGGTTACATGAATCACAGACCCCTGAATTCCAAAATATTATGGATAAACATATTTACCATTTATATGCTACAAATTAGTCTGGGTCCATCTTTGAAATGATTTATCAAGTATAAAATAATTAATTTGCCTTTTTTTTTTGAGACATGAGTCTCTCTCTGTCACCCAGGCTGGGGTACAGTGGCAAAATCTCGGCTCACTGCAGCTTCCTTCCCCCAGGTTTAAGCAATTCTCATGCCTAAGCCTCCTAAATAGCTGGGACTATAGGCACCCACCACCATGCCCAGCTAATTTTTGTATTTTTGGTAGAGACAGAGGTTTCACCATTTTGGCCAGGCTGGTCTCGAACTTCCCTCAGGTTATCTGCTCAAAGTGCTGGTATTACAGGTGTGAGCACCTGTGCCTGGTTTAATTTGCCTATTGATTCCTTTCCATTATTGTCAACAATTAAGTTTAATCTTCTTTTAGAAATTATATATAAATGATGATATTATTGATACTCTTTCTAAATAAGAGGTTTTTAAATCCATAACAGTTTTATGTATCCAACTATATATAAATTTTCTAACATTTCCCAATAACTAGTTTTATAAATTGATTAGACATCAAATCAGAATCTAGCCAAGCAGGAGTTATATTGAAATAAGTTTACATCACAGAAAAGGTTCCATAATTCGGCCAAATTGCATGCATGTAATGCTTATATAGCAATTAGTCACTATATGTTGGATAAGGATAAAAATGTATTTGTGAATTATTTCTGAGGAAATGCTAACTTCCACAGCATTGTATTTAATTATAACAATAACAGGAACATTAAATCTTTCCTGTTTCACCTCAAAGCCATAGGTCATCTGGCTTTTAGGCACCTTAACTAAAGGCAAAAATCTGATTTGTAGTTTTATTAGAGTATACCTTGAAATTATTTGACCAAGAAACTCAAAGAAAAGAAGTATGTTAAAAAGAAAGAAAAGAGAAAACCTCACTTTTTCTTTATAGCGTCCATTCCTGTTTTAAACCCAGGACTTCATTCCTAAAGATCCTGACCTTTATCTAGGAAGTCTAGGCAGTTTTCTTGTTGGATCTGGCCATGGTGCTTCAGATCACCTCTGGAATCTCTGTGGTTGTGAAGGCAATTGTTTGACACTCTTACCTCCTGTGGGTTGAGTCATGAATTGTTAATGTGGCAGTAATTAGTATCTACTTAAATTTAGTGGTTAGAAATGCATTTGAAGTGCCCTAAAGATGATTATAGTTCGAAATATCTTCAGAGAAAGCAAACTTTTTAATATTGCAGGGAGGCTGGCAATACAAAAATACATTTCTATGGCTTGATTTCTTGAATGTGTTGAGACACATTTGGACTATATTTGGCAGAAAGAATGGAGTAAACAGCAAGGCTCTTAAATTAATAAGTTACAAGGTAGTTGGCTCTTAGGTGAATTTAGGCATGTCAGCTAATAGCTTTTATATGGTATGTAACAAATATGAGTTATGCTGTGATTCAGTGCATTATAAGAAATCATAGTATAGGCCGGGTGTGGTGGTTCACGCCTGTAATCCTAGCACTTTGGGAGGCCAAGGTGGGTGGATCACCTGAGGTTAGGAGTTCAAGACCAGCCTGGCCGTCATGGTGAAACCCCATCTTTAAAAGAAAGAAAAAAAAAAAAAAAGAAATCATAGTATAAACAATGTTAATCGTTCTCTTGAGCTTCATCAGTCAATGTTATTGGCCTTTATTTTCTTTCCATAGCTTATCTGCTATTATCAGTTTCTTATTCCTTATTATTAATCTGTTAGCTCATTATCATTAGCTTACTAACTTAAAAATTAGAGAAATATCAAAATAAGAATAGCAGCACTATGAAGAGTTAATAAAATGCAATTTCATGTTAGAAGAGAATAAAAGTAATTTAGCAGTTATTTGCAGTGCTTTATTGCAACATTTATTTATGTGCTTAAGATTTCTAAGATTTAAAAAATTACGTTTAATACAATCCTTAGAAATTCAGAAATACCCTGGTATTCACTAGATTATGGTGTTTGCCCAATTTTTACTGGTTTTCACTGTAGATTTTAATGAACTTTGAGTGTTTACTTTTCCAGACGTACAGATTTAATTTGGAATATGAACTTTGGTTCTTCATGAGTGCATTTTGAAAAAGAAAAAAATACACATTCAGAATCTGGCCAACTTAAGTTTGTATTTTAAAAATACTTTATGCATGTTAATGGTCACAGTAAATGAAATTGTGTTTTAAGACTAAATTTACTACCATTTTGAACAGTCAGACATTCCCAGATCATTCTTACATTGTCAGATAACAATTCTGTATAATATCACTTTGGACCATGGACATGAGCTGGAAAATGGTATATTTTTGTAGATTGTATGTCCAGAATGAGTTTAGAACTGCATGATATAGTGGAAAGAGCACTGGACTAGTAGTCACTACCCTTTTTGGATTCAGGGTAGTGTGACTCAATTAAAATGAGTATAATGAAACAAGGCGAAAATATAAAAACATCCCTTTGTATACTATTTTGCTACTTACAGTGTACTTTGGCATTGCTTTATCTTACTGGTTTCTCACAATAGGATTTCTGAGATCTTAATCTAAGAGCTCCGAAACTGTCAACTTGTTTGATCCCAGGGTGCTGCTTTTGTTTTACAGAGTGAGCTCACTTGATTTTTTAGTTGATGGCATAGTTGGCATCATTTCCCAGGTCTGACTGACTCCTAGTCAGAGGCACTTTATTTGTATCATGAAATGATTTGAAATCATTGTAAAGCAGCAAAATCTGATAATGACTGCCAGCTTTCCTTGTGTTTTGATAACAAAGACTCCAAATATTCTAGAGAACCTGGATAAAAGTTGAAGGACTGGGTTGGGATTCGAAGGCATAAAATTGTAGGAAATCTTACATTTTTGCAATAACAAATATTTATGAAATCAAAACATTTAAATTTTTTAAAAGTAATTTTTAAAAGTAATTTTAATTCACCATATACTTATCAATTTCTTGATGCTTCTAAATGACGTCTAACAGATAAGGTTTTGTGGACGTATTTTTCTGTTTACATAAATTTATCCACTTAAAATGTGATAATGTGGGGACCTAACAAGGTTTGATTACATAAACTTCTTTGCATTGGTCTTTTCACTATCTTATTTGCTAAATTTTCTTACTTTTCTTCAACCTCCCCACTCTCCATTTTTTGGTTATTAAACAGGGAAAGCTTGCTACATTATAAAGATTGTTGGCAGCATTTATTTTACACAAATGCTAAAGGTTAACTTTTGGAAATGAACTACTTTTATATATGTGTTTGCTTGTGCTTTGTGATATTTCTGGATCATTCCAGTCATACAGACTTTTTACATGTAATATTTCTTTCTACCTGTGGAAAGGTATATTTTAAAGAATGTATAACCAACAGTCCATTTACTTTTTATTAGTATGTAGAGGATTTGTATCTAATTCATGAATGTAGTTTTAAAATAGTTTGTCATTGTAAATGGAGCAAAGTACATTATCTTTATTCTAAAATGTACATTATGTAAGAATTGTAAATATTCTTAAGTACTTTGTATGCCAAAAAATTACAGTAAGTCAATAAAAATCTCACCTCTGGCATAGTAACTTCATGCTCAGACTGACATTTTGTTGTGAACTACACTGTGAACATATCTGTCAGCAGCAGTTACTTTTAAGGTACTGGATTTCTTCCCAGCCCTTTCAAATCCACATTGATCCTGTTTGCTGGTTACTTCAATCAAGAAATCCATTTGAATTGTTTATGTGTCTAATTCTCTCTGTTCACAGAGCTATTGTGGCACCTAATTCATTGGCAAAAAGATAAAAGACTTTTTTCTGGGGTGGGGGTGCTTGCTCTAATTTTTTTGCCATTATGATTTGACATTAATGTTCCTAACCTATGTAACACATTCACATTTGATCCTTTTAGTAAACAGACATACACATGTTTGTCTTTGAATTGGAACTGAAGGAATGGAAGTTTGGAAAAAACTAAACTGGAAGTGAATCACCTGCATTTGCTTTTTTAAAAAAAAGTTAATTGACTTGAAAGCAGTCACAAACTTTTCAATATAACTTGGTTTATACAGCTTCATTTTATTTTCAGAATAGTTCTGTGAAGAAGAGACCCCACATCAGTGGTCTGTAAGTATTTTAAATGAAAACAGTTTAACTTTTCAAAAACAAAGCTTTTTGCTTGTGGAGAAATGTTTAAATAAGAAGCAAGATAATCCACAATTCCATTATCTTACCTGTGCTGTCCAAAATGGAACCCACTAGATACATGTGGCTACTTAATTAGAAATAGAGTTCATTTCCTTAGTGGTACTTTTACATTTTAAGAACTTGATAGTCCCGTATGGCTAGTGACCATTGTTTTGAACACGGGAGATTGTGGAATATACTCATAGTCACAGGAAGTTCTACTAGATAGCACTGAGGAAGATACTGTTACTTTTTTGGTGTATACCCTTCTAGACCTTTGGGTGTGTGTATTCCTGCATTTACACAATGGGATCATACTGTTACCCACTTCTTTCACTTAATAGATGGTGAGAACTTAAATTTGTTATGTGAAATTTCAAACGTATAAGTAGAGAAAACAACTTCAGAAGCTATAAGCTCATAGCTTATTCTCCCCATTTTTCCCCTTTTGTGGACTTAAAAAATTTTTTTAAATCCAAATCCTAGACATTTCACCAGCAAATCATTCAGTATGTATATCTAAAAGTTAGGGACTGTTTAAAAAACCATAACCCACTCAAACTATGAAACTATGTAATCAGCATTCAAATCGTCTGGTTGTCTCAAGTGTGATTTTTAAAATCGATTGTGCAAATCAATTTAGGTAAGTTCTACACATTGCAGTTGGTGAATATGTTTCTTAGTCTCTCTAGGTTTTTCCTACATTTATTACTATTTTTTTGTGTGTTTCTTTAGAAATGGGGTCTCACACTGTGACCCCAGGCTGGAGGGCTGTGGCGATCATAGCTCACTGCAGCCTTGAACTCGAGCTCAAGTGATCCTCCTACATAGCTTGGAGTACAGACATGAGCCACCTCACCCATTTGTTATTTTTTAAAATTTCCACCTGCAGTTTGTTGAAAACATCACTTTTAATGACTGCATTGCTTTAGTTTTAACCACTTCATTGATGACCATTTGATTCCCATTTTTTTTTTTTTTGCCATCATGAACCTAGCTTTGCTTTATTTATTTTTTTGAGACTGAGTCTCGCTCTGTCGCCAGGCTGAAATGCAGTGGCGTGATTTCAGCTCACTGCAACCTCCTGATTCAAGCTGTTCTGCCTCAGCCTCCTGAGTAGCTGGGATTACAGTTGTCTGCCCCCGTGCTCAGCTAATTTTTGTAGAGATGGGAGTTTCACCATGTTGGCTAGGATGGTCTCAATCTCCTTACCTCGTGATCTGCCCCACTCAGCCTCCCAAAGTGCTGGGATTACAGGTGTGGGCCACTGTGCCTGGCCTTTGCTTTATTTTTTATTTATTTTTTTTGAGATACGGTCTTGCTCTGTTGCTCAGGCTGGGGTGCAGAGGTGCAATCTTAGCTCACTGCAACGTCTGCCCTCCGGGTTCAAGTGATTCTCCTGCCTCAGCCTCTTGAGTAGCTGGGATTACAGGTGCCCACCACCATGCTGCTATTTTTGTATTTTTTTTTAGTAGAGAACGAGATTTCACCATATTGACCAGGCTGGTCTCAAACTCGACCTTGAGTGATCTGCCTGCCTCAGCCTCCCAAAGTGCTGGGATTACAGGTGTGAGCCACCATGCCTGGCCTAAGCCACTGTGCTTGGCCTTGCTTTATTCTTAAGGTTAAGTATTTTAGAACATTGTTAAATTATTTCTTTAGGAAGAATTTCTAGGAGTAAAAATGCTGGTTCAATGAGTGAGTATATTTTTGAGACTCATCAAATATGGTCAGCACTGTGTTAGGTACTGGGTATATTGTGGTTAATAAAAAGCAGATGTGCATTCTGTTCTCTTGGAGTCACGTGTTCTTGCAATGGAGAAAGATAAGAGTAGGATGGTATATAAGTGGCCCTCACAGAATAGTTGAGGATGGCACTTAGCCCAGACACTGGATATAAGGCATTTAGAGATCATTTATGTAGGTAGTGGCATGTAAGCCAAGGTCTGAAGCAAAGAGGTTGGATAATCTATGCACCTTTTTTTTTTTTTTGGGAAATAGAGTTTCAGTTGGTTGCCCGAGCTGGAGTGCAGTGGCTTGATCTCCGTTCAGTGCAACCTCTGCCTCCCAGGTTCAAGTGATTCTCCTGGCTCAGCCTCCTAAGTATTTGGGATTACAAGGGCCCACTACTACGCCCAGTTAATTTTTTGTATTTTTAGTAGAATCAGGGTTTCAACACGTTGGCCAGACTGGTCTCAAACTCCAGACCTTATGATTTGCCACCTCAGCTTCCCAAAGTGCTGGGATTGCAGGTGTGAGCCACCGCGCCTGGCCACAACCTTACAATGTGAAAATGACCAACAGGAAAAACCATTTACCTAATCTCAGGACAGAAATCGGAGAACTTGACCAAAGTTAGAAGTGAAGGGTTGGCCGGGCGCGGTGGCTCAAGCCTGTAATCCCAGCACTTTGGGAGTCCGAGGCGGGTGGATCACAAGGTCAAGAGATCGAGACCAGCCTGGTCAACATGGTGAAACCCCGTCTCTACTAAAAATACAAAAAATTAGCTGGGCATGGTGGCGCGTGCCTGTAATCCCAGCTACTCAGGAGGCTGAGGCAGGAGAATTGCCTGAACCCAGGAGGCGGAGGTTGCGGTGAGCCGAGATCGCGCCATTGCACTCCAGCCTGGGTAACAAGAGTGAAACTCCGTCTCAAAAAAAAAAAAAAAAAAAAAGAAGTGAAGGGTTATTGTGCTTACCCAAGTTCTTTGTCTATTTAGACATGTTATGATACACCAGCTATCTCTTAAACTGAGAAAATAGCTCATATTACTGTCTGTCATACTGCATACTTTGTGCTACTACTATGATATGTATGTAGTAGGCACTCAGTATCTATTGGATAAATAGCTGACTGGCTGCTTTGAACCTACACTGTTCTTGTTTTCTGTCAGCAATCTACGTCAGGAAGCTGCAACATTAATTTTTATTTATGGGCAAGTAACTGGGAATAAGCTACAATAATATTGCTTATTCAGAATGATACATTGTCATTGATAAGTCAGAATAATAGAATAAGTATTTTTCTGGTTTCCTGTGTAAAATATATGTTTTTGTTACAGTGACCTAATCATGCCACCACTGTACTTTACTGTTGTTTTTATTTTTGATTTGTTTATTTTTTTTGAGACGAGTCTTCGTTTTGCTGCCCAGGCTGGATTGCAGTGGCGTGATCTTGGCTCATTGCAACCTCCACCTCCGGACTCAAGCAGTTCTTCTGCTTCAGCTTCCCAAGTAGCTGGGATTACAGAGGACTGCCACCACCCCTGGCCAATTTTTTGTATTTTTAGTAGACACGAGGTTTCACCATATTGGCCAGGCTAGTCTCAAACTCCTGACCTCAAGGGATCTGCCTGCCTCGGCCTTCCAAAGTGCTGGGATTACAGGTGTGAGCCACCACTCCTGGCCACCCCCTATGTAAAATTTAAATGATTGTTGTTTATGTCTTATCCATAAATTCCAGGAGTAGTGATCTTACAAAGGTTTGAAAAATAAACCATTTGTTGAGTAAATTGATTATAAAATAACAAGAGGGGGAAAAAACCACCTTATTGATGGTGTAGGTGGGTGACTAAAAGGCACAATTCTAGAATTATTTCTTCTTTATTAGTGAACAGTAATTAGAATGTAAGAATACAGCTCTAACATGCTTCTTGGAGAGACTGTGGAACATATAATGAAGCCTTAATAGAGATTTGGAATTTATAAATACCCCAGAAAAGCTTATGGTTGCCCAATTGTGTTTTTGCACATTTTGGATATTTAGGTTTTAAAGAGTTTGGTGCCTTTAGCATATTCTGTTTACTCGGTGGTAGGCACTGTTCTACTTTTTGACTGTTGTCTCTCATAAGCCAATGAGGCATAGATATTAATATTAGCCCCATTTTCTATATGGTGTAATTGCAGTTCAGCATGATTAAGTAACATGCTTAAAGTCCAAAAACCTGTATGGAAGAGCTTGAATTCCAGCCTGGATCATTCACCCCAGAGCTTGCTCTCTTAACCGGTGTCATATGTTAACAGTTGTGATAAAATACAGACAACTCAGAGCGTGAATTACTGTTTTTGGAGCTAATCTTGACTAGAAGCTTGGACTTGGAAACAGAATGACTTGGGTTAGGATCCCAGCTCCATTATTTACTAGCCTAGTAGATTTGGGTAATTCTCTAAATCTTGGTCTCCTCCGTTGTAAAATACCTCTACCTCATAGACTTGTGAGAATCCAATGTTTTCCATAAAAGTCTTACTCCCATAGAAAAGAACAAGAGTTAAAAATGAGATGGAATAAGGATCTGGGAAAGGTGGGCTCTACCCACACTTTGAGAAATGATGGCATAGCCCGATTAATTCTGAGAGACCAATCTATATGTGCGTTTGTCCATTTTCAACTCTTCCTCTCAAGCATTCACAGCACTTGTACGTGGTTACTGAAAAACTACTGATCTATCCTCAATTCTTTTTTTTTTTTTTTTTTTTTTTTGAGACAGAGTTTCGCTCTTGTTACCCAGGCTGGAGTGCAATGGCGCGATCTCGGCTCACCGCAACCTCCGCCTCCTGGGTTCAGGCAATTCTCCTGCCTCAGCCTCCTGAGTAGCTGGGATTACAGGCATGCGCCACCATGTCCAGCTAATGTTTTGTATTTTTAGTAGAGACGGGGTTTCACCATGTTGACGAGGATGGTCTCGATCTCTTGACCTCGTGATCCACCCGCCTCGGCCTCCCAAAGTGCTGGGATTACAGGCTTGAGCCACCGCGCCCGGCTATCCTCAATTCTTATAAGACTGAAGTTAGTAAGTTTTTATCTAGTTAGCAGTGTGCAACTGCCCAGGGTCAAAATTGCCACTCGCTAGCTCTGTGACTTTGGGCAGGTGACCTCGCTGTGCAAAATTCACCGGTACTTATGAAGGCTCTGATAAAGTGTTAAAAGTCTGTTTACAAAACCAAAAGCTAATGAATGTTGCCCTCTTGGGCTTTACTACGCATTGGGGGCTCCGGGAGCAGGTTCGGGCGGCCGGCGGGGGACCCCTGCTGGCCACACCCTCTTGCCTCTCTCAGCTCGGCATCCGGCGCGACGTGCGGCCCGGGCAATTTCCTCCCCAGGGCAGCGGGAGAAGGGAGGAGCTGCCAGTTTAAATTCCCTACCTCCAGTTTGGGTGCAGGTAGAGGCAGAGAGGGCTTAAAGCCTCCAAGAAATTGGGGCGAAAAAGGTGCAGAGGTAAGTTTTCCCTCTTGGTGCCTCCAGCTTCGCTCTTTGCTAACCTAAGTTCCTCCGTTCGGGCGCCTCCATTCCATCCAGGGCTCAGCTTGGATATCTGGCCTCTGGTGCCTGGCGCGTAGGGCGCCATTTCTCAGCCGGGACAGCGGGCCGACCCTCAGCATGCTGGGGTCCTTAATCTGCGCCTCCCGCGCGGGGCGGCGTATCCCACCGAACCCCTAGTCCGGCCTCTAACCCGTCGAAACCTAGGACCCAGTGGCTACCTCACGCTCGGTCCCGCCCCTCCGCGTACCGGCGCCCGCGATTGGCTCCAGGCGGCTCAGCCCCGCCCCCGCCATGGCCGCCGCCCGCCGCCGGGACTCTGTGGCCGCCGGCGTCCGGGTCCCCGAGGGCTGTCCCGCGTTGCTGGTGCCCCTGGCGCCGCCGTCGTCTCGTAGCGCATGGGCCTCCTCCGAGGCGGGCTCCCATGCGCTCGGGCCATGGCGCGCCTGGGCGCTGTGCGCTCTCACTATTGCGCGCTGCTGCTGGCCGCGGCGCTGGCCGTCTGCGCCTTCTACTACCTCGGCTCTGGCCGGGAGACCTTCTCCAGCGCCACCAAGAGGCTGAAGGAGGCCCGCGCCGGCGGCCCCGCCGCGCCCTCGCCGCCCGCGCTAGAGCTGGCGCGGGGCTCGGTGGCGCCAGCCCCTGGCGCTAAGGCCAAGAGCTTGGAGGGCGGCGGGGCCGGGCAGGTGGACTACCACCTGCTGATGATGTTCACCAAGGCGGAGCACAATGCAGCGCTGCAGGCCAAGGCCCGCGTCGCGCTGCGGTCACTGCTGCGCCTCGCCAAGTTCGAGGCGCACGAGGTGCTTAACCTTCACTTCGTGAGCGAGGAGGCCAGCCGCGAGGTGGCCAAGAGCCTGCTGCGGGAGCTCCTGCCGCCCACCGCTGGCTTCAAGTGCAAGGTGAGCGGGGCGGCCGTTGGGGGCTCCCGGTGGGTGGCCCACCCCGTCCTAGGCGAGATCAGTGCGCGCTCCCGGAGGGGATCCGGGGAACAAGTGGGTAGGATCGTCCCTGAGCTGCCCACCTGCAGCGTAGTTCCTGACATATGAGTTACCTGGGTCAAATTGCTTATTTGATTTTGACCTAATAGTTGGATCCGAGGCCAGATTTTGGAAAACAAGTACTAGGTGATATTAAAGGGTGGAGACTGATGTTGGTTGGGGCAGCGTGCTGAGGCGTATTATCTGAAAGACTTAAGTGAGTGATTAGGAGAGCTGCTGCCAGGATCCTACAGGCTTCGGGAGTCTGCGGTGGCTCCTTGTTGCCTACAGAGTCAAGTCCCAGTTTCTTGGTAGGGCTGTTGTGTTGTGAGCCAGGTCCGCGTCTCTGGCTTCACCTCTCCTCCTTTCTCTACGTACATCTTATACCATAGCTATGTATAGACTGGGCCTTTATACATGCTGTCCTCTTTGGCCCTTGGCCATTTTTTACTCAGTTTTCACCTCCCCTGAGAAAGTCCCTAGATCTGGGACCTCTGAAGGTCCTCTCAGGAGGAGGGGCCTGGCAGCCTGTCCCAGGTGATCCTAATGACCCTACTATTTGAGAAACACTGCACGAGTTCAGGGTAGAAAACTGAGGATGGTTGGCCTTAGGGTCAGTCTGGGCAGATCTTGGGATTTGACCAGGTCTCCAAATGCCACCTTGAAGATCAGCATTGCCATCTCTTCTGGGCCTACTTGCGCCATTGACAGATCTCTATCCTCTTGTCCCTAGCTCCTGCTGCAGCTCTTGCTGCACACCTAGTGCTTGTCAGCCTGCATGCCTTTGCTTTTGTCATTCCAACTATTGGGGTACTCCTTTCTATTTCCAAGTCTTGCCCATCTTCAGATACCATCCCCTCCTTGGAGCCAAGGAACTGGCCCTTTTTCCTCTTCTACTTCCCTGGTGCTGTGACAGTATCATGTCTTATCATCCATCCCTATGTACAATGCCTGGCACTCTTAGTTGACACCAGAAATATTGGCCCAGGGGTAGATCCAGCCTCAGGGCTGAGCTCCTCCTGTCTATGAGTAAGTGTTCCATGCTTGGAATACCCCACTTTACTGGGCCCAGTTCCGGCAGCCTCTCTCAAGGCCTGGAGGCAGCTGCAAATGACCTGGAGGGAACTGATACCTCCTCTGTTGAGGTGTGAGAGTTGAAGGTCTAGTGTCTGGGGACTTCAAGCCGGATGTCAGTGGTCGGATAAGAGTTTATCAGTCCTGGCATAAAATTGGTCCCATTATTATTATTACTATTATTTTGATTGAGATGGAGTTTTGTTCTTGTTGCCTAGGCTGAGTGCAATGACACTATCTTGGCTCACTGCAACCTCCGCCTGCTGGGTTCAAACGATTCTCCTGCCTAAGCCTCCTGAGTAGTTGAGATTACAGGTGCCCGCCACCATACCAGCTAATTTTTTGTTTTTGTTTTGTTTTGGGTTTTTTTTTTTTTTTTTTTTTTTTGAGGCGGAGTTTCGCTCTTGTTACCCAGGCTGGAGTGCAATGGCGCAATCTCGGCTCACCGGTAACCTCCGCCTCCTGGGTTCAGGCAATTCTCCTGCCTCAGCCTCCTGAGTAGCTGGGATTACAGGCACGCGCCACCATGCCCAGCTAATGTTTTGTATTTTTAGTAGAGACAGGGTTTCACCTTGTTGATCAGGATAGTCTTGATCTCTTGATCTCTTGATCCACTCGTTTCGGCCTCCCAAAGTGCTGGGTTTTTTTTTTTGAGATGGAGTTTCGCTGTTGTTGCCCAGGCTGGAGTGCAATGGTGCAATCTCAGCTCACTGCAACCTTCACCTCCCAGGTTCAAGCGATTCTCCTGCCTGAGCCTCCTGAGTAGCTGGGATTACAGGCATTTGCCACCTCGCTTGGCTAATATTGTAGTTTTAGTAGAGATGGGGTTTCTCCATGTTGGTCAGGCTGGTCTTGATCTTCTGACAGCGGGTGATCTGACTGCCTTGGCCTTCCAAAGTGCTGGGATTGCAAGCATGAGCCACCACACCCAATTTTTTGCAGTTTTAATAGAAATGAGGTTTCACCATGTTGGCCAGGGTGGTCTCGAAATCCTGACCACAGGCAATCCACTGGCCTCGGCCTCCCAAAGTGCTGGAATATAGGCATGGTGTCTGCTACCACACCCGGCTAATTTTTTGTGTTTTTAGTAGAGATGGGGTTTTCACCGTGTTGGCTAGGCTGGTCTCGAACTCCTGACTCAGGTCATCCACCCGCCTTGGCCTCCCAAAGTGCTGGAATTACTTCCTAAGGCGTAAGCCACTGGGCCTGGCCTCCATTACTTTTATTTTGTTTTGTTTTTGATAAGAATTCTTGCTGTGTTGCCCAGGCTGGTCATGAACTCCTGAGCTCAAGCGATTCTCCTGCCTTAGCCTCCCGAGGAGCTGGGATTACAGGCACACGACCCTGCACCTGTCATTACCATTACTTTTGAGTTCGTATTTTGTAAATTTTTCTGTTTGTGGTGAAAAGTGCTCTTTTTTTCTTTTAAATCTGGGATTCTAAAAGGTTTGCTTCATTTTATTCGTGATTTAATTCTGTCTTGGGTTTGGAATATTTCTGAAAAGAGTACCTCTCCCTGTACCATGGGCCCCGTTACACGTCTTTCCTCTGTGTGGAGAACGCCCTGCCCACATTTTTAGCGGGTACTGGGCTTTCAGGTCTCAGCTCTGGTGTTATTTCCTTGGTAAACCTTTCCTGAGCTTCGTTACATACTTTCAAACTCCAAACACTTTTCCTTAGTAACGTTTATTACAGTTGTCTTTATATAACGATTGAATTGATAATTTGTCTTCCTTGCTAGATTCTAAACTCCTTAAGGGCGTAGATACTGACTTATCTTAAATGCTGCATCCCTAGCGCCTAACATATGTGATTGAATTTTTTTTTTTTTTTTGAGAAAGAGTCTCATCCTGTTGCCCAGGCTGCAGTGCAGTGGTGCAAGCTCAGCTCACTGCAACCCCTGCTCACTGCAACCTCCACCTCCCAGGTTCAAGTGATTCTCCTGCCTCAGCCTCCCAAGTAGCTGGGACTACAGGCGCGCACCACCATGCCCAGCTAATTTTTGTATTTTTAGTAGAAATGGGTTTTCGCCATGTTGGCCTGTGTGGTTTCAATCTCTTGACCTTGTGATCTGCCCCCCTTGGCCTCCAAAAGTGCTGGATTACAGGTGTGAGCCACTGCACCTGGACATGTGAGTGAATTTTATACTGGAATTGCTTTTTTGGTATTGACTTGGAAGAAGGAAACTAGAATTTCTCACTCTGGTTGTACCAGAGGTGGAAGGGATCTTGGAATATATCACACGATAGGTGAGGATACTTGCCCAAAGCTTTCTGGAGAGTTACTCAGTTGGGGCTGGACCTGCATCCTAGGCAAGTAGTGTTACCTTTGTGCTGTATTTCTCCTTTAAGGAGCCCCTCTGTCTTGTAAGATAAAGTCCAGGGGGCAGTTTATTCCCAGGGAGAATTGACTTGAGTTGTGTTGGAACTGTTTGAAGAGAGCCTGGGGGGCTCCTCTTTCCTTCAGGTGACTCTGGGACCTCAGCATGGCTGCCAGGTGCAGAGCAGGGTTGCAGTAAACTGGAACAGGGCTGGTGCCCCCACACCGAGGCCTCCTCTCAGGCCATTTTCAGGTGGCATAGAAACACCTTTTAGCTCAAATAGCTGAAATGGTTTTGGAAATAGATCCCAGAATGTTATTAGTGACCTTAGATTTTATTTTGGCTAATAAGCTATTAGCTAGAAAGGATTAACGTAGGGTTGCATCTTGTTTTAAATCTTTTTGAAAGTTTTAATTAATCTCTTGGTTATCTGTGAACAGGGAAGTATATTATTTGTTAACTTATTTAGTAAACTTTCGAACTTGCTATGTTCCAGGTACCAGCATAGGAGCTGCTTCTAGCCTATGCAATAGGTCGATTTTCTAAATGCATCAGAAACACCTAGGGACATTTATTAAAAATACAGCATCCAGGCTGGGCATGGTGGCTTAAGCCTGTAATCCCAGCACTTTGGGAGGCTGAGGTGGGCAGATCACTTGAGGTTCGGAGTTCGAAACCAACCTGACCGACATGGAGAAACTCCGTCTCTACTAAAAATACAAAATTAGCCATGCGTGGTGATGCCTGCCTGTAATCCCAGCTACTCGGGAGGCTGAGGCAGGAGAATCACTTGAACCTAGGAGGCGGAGGTTGCGATGCACCGTTGCACTCTAGCCTGGGCAGTAAGAGTGAAACTCTGTCTCAACAAAAGAAAAAAAATTACAGAGTCCTGGGCCCCACCCCAGTCTATGGGTTCAGAATCTGTTGGGTGGGGCCTGGGGATCTGTATTTGGATGGAGCTACATAGGCAGGCTTGGGAGTCACTGCTGTAAGAAGTCCAGGAATGCCTGCTGTCCTCCTGCTGGTCTCTCAGACCCAGTTCAGGTACATTCACCTTGCTAAAATGCTGCCTTTATTACATGACTTCCATTCAGAACCTCCAGTGGCTTCTGGCTACCTGCCATCCCAGGTCATTTCAGCATCCTAGACCCACAGCCGTGGCTGAGGGTCCTGAGCTGTAGAGCTGTACCTTCTTGAACTGCTGACCTCAGGTGATCCGCCCACCTCAGCCTCCCAAAGTGTTGGGATAACAGGTGTGAGCCACCACCCCCGGCAAGCTGTACCTTCTCATTGCACTGTGCGTGCTCTGCTTCTGAGCATCTGTTTCATTCTGTCAAGTGCAATCTCACACTTGTAAAACTTAGATCAAGACTTATCCTTTCCATGTGCCTTTCCTGCTGGATCAGGTTTGATAGAATAGACCATAAACCCCCCAAATAATGGTGGCTTAAACGAGACTGAATTTATGTGTTATTTCAATGAAGTCCAGAGATAGGCATTCCTGGGCTGGCATGGGGGCTTCACGAAG